ACAAATGCCCTCCAGGGGCACCCATGCCTGGGACACTCATGCAACGTAGGAGTTGAGAGTCTGGGTGGACTGTGTTCATTTGTTTCAGGTAGAAACACATAACACTAAGCTTATTGCTTTAACTGTTTTTACAAGTCAGTGGCATTTAAGGTATTCACACGGCGTTATCACTCTCACCCCAGAGGGAAGCCTGGTCTCCACTTAGAAGTCACTCCCTGTTGCTTGGCAACTGCCTGGCTCCTGGCAACCAGCACCTTGCCCTTCTGCCTCTCCAGATACCCTAGCTCTGGTCACACTATATGCGCACCAGACTTACAAGGCCTCTTGTGATTGGCTTTAACTCATTGTGAAGATTTTGTGTGTTCTATAGCCTGTGCGGGTGACTGGGCCACAGTGAAGCCTGCTTGGACCAGCTGTTCAGGGCACACTCACTTTAAACACTCAGGACTTTTCAGATCCTACCATTTGCCCACTGGTGGCTTGAACTTGGCCATCCATCATGGAAATATTTAGCCCGCTGGTGCTGAAAAACGGGGTGCATGAAAGTCAGTTCTCAGCTTGAAGGCCTCTTGGGGTCTCCATCAGCAGCCCCCAGTGTCCCATAAACACATGCTCTTAGCAAGATCTGGTTCTTTCTGGATAGTTGCTTCTCAAGAGGTGCATGCATCGCCCCCCGCCCAGCTGGTGTCCTCTCAAAGGCAGTTTATCTCCTACCCTTTCCCCATAGAGAACACCTGCCATCCAGCTGGGACACTCCAGACTAATGGGACACTGGTCGGAGTCCTGTGTTCTTATCCTCCTGGGTGGAGGATGAGCTGCAGACAACCTGCCCAGCCCACAGGGAACATGGAGGTCCCTTAGCCTTGCTTCATGGTGAGGGGTCCCAGGAGTGATGGACATCCTTGTCTGATTCCAAGCAGCTCCCAGGAACTTCAAAATAAAATCTCGCCCCCACCCACTCCCCCGCCAGGGCAGACCTTGAGGCCCAGCTATCTGTGTTGTAAGCAGGTTGAGGGTTCTGGCGATTTCTGTATCATAGTGACAGTCTGCAGAGGTCAGCAGGCTGGACCTGGGCTGTGTACTTGGATTGCGACTCTAGAACACACCATTCTCTGTGTCTGGATAGCTGGCCCTCTCTAACCTGCTTAGCTCCGGCTGCTCATCCATTTCCACACCTGTAGACGTTCAGGGTGACTCTGACCAGGAGCCAGGTGATTATAGCTCAGAGCTGCGATTGCAAAGAAAGCCAGGCTGGAGGCTCAACTCCTTCAAGCTGTGTGACCCTGAGCACCTCGTTCAATGTGAACTAGAACCTAACTCTTAGGTTGGTTGCCAGGAAAATGGGATGACTTTTCTAAAAGCGAGGGGTTGTCAGAGCTGGGAGAATGGCCGAGTGTGTAAAGTCCTTGCTGTGGAAGCATCAGGACCCATGTTTGGTCCCCAGTACCCACGGACTGTGAACCTCTGATCCTGATACTGGGGGTAGAGACAGGCAGAGAGGTGGAGCACTGGTCAGCCCCGAGCTGCAGATTCAGTGAGATTGTTACTCAGAAAGAAGGTGGAGAGGCTGGAGAGATGACTCAGTGGCTCAGAGCACTGGCTCCTCTTCCAGAAGACCTGGGTTCAGTCCCTAGTACCCACATGGCTTTTCAGTCAACTGTAATTCCAGTACCAGGGGAATCTGATGCCCTCTTTTGGCCTCCACAGGTATTGCATTCATGTGATACAGTCAAAACACCCACCTATATAAAGTAAAAAAAAAAAAAACAAAACAAAAAAAAACGTTAAAAACAATAACTCATGGAGATCCACCTCCCAAGTGCTAGGATTAAAGACATGCGCCACCACTACCTTGAAGGTGTAAGTCACAAATAATCCCACACCAGTTTGGAATTATGATTAATAGAATGGTTATTTATTTAAGGGGGAAAGACTTACAGATCACCGTCCCAGACAACAGCCCTCTGTGCAGTCAGGAAGGGAGCCTAGTCGCCGGAAGCGGAGCCAGAAGCCAGAGAGTGAGTGGAGGGAAGTGGCTGCTTTTTTAAAGGGAGAGAGACCATGCCCCAATGGGCTGGTATCTCAGTGGCTGTTGGCTGAAGGAGCCAAAGGAGCTCCCGCAACACTACCTGGCTCAAAATTAATTTTTAAAATAATTTGAAAAAAATACTTGCTGCAAAGCTATGCAGGTCAAACCTGTGTGTCACTTGCCCCAACAGATAGCTCAATGAATACAAAGCCAGGAGAAGCGCTGACCTCAGCAAGGGCACACAACTGCCTATCAGGGAAAGGAGAGCAGAATAAATCAGCCCTAAACTTACACCATCTAAAAAACTCAGCTCCAACTGCATCAAAGACAAAACCCACAAACCTTTAGAAGAGGGACTGGCAAGATGATTCAGTGGGTAAAGGTGCTTGCTACTTTAGAGACTCCTGCAAGTGGTCTTCCGCCCTCTGCAGGTATGCTGTGATATGCATATATGTGCATGTGCATGCGTGCGTGCGCTCACATACACATAAATGGTTAGGAGAGAACAGAACACTTTATGACCTTGCGTCCCGTGGTGACTGTTCTGGACATGACAGAGGCAATAAAAGCAAAACCAGATGTTGGACCTTCTCAGTGTAGAAACTCTCCTTGTGTCTAACGACACATTCAGACAGAAGAGCCCGGGCGTGGACTCAGGAAAACATTTGCAAATTAGATAATTGTTAAGATCTGCTGCCCAGATGTGCAAGAACAAGTCAGGAGGTGTGCTGGCATGACATGGGCTTTTCATCCCGGCACTTCAGAGGCTGAGGCAGGAGGATAGTGAGTTTGAGGGCAGAATGGGCAACAGAGAGAAAAATCCGAAAACCAAATATTTAGTTTAAAGCGCTTGAATAGAAATTGCTTCCAAGTCTGTTTCTCAACAGCCCGTGCAGGCTCAGTGTCAGAAAGATATTAATGAAGGGCTGGCGGGGTGGCTTATGCGCGAAAGGCTCCCACTACTGTCCTGACTACGTAATTCCATCTCGATAATAATGACAGCAGCAGTTGGAACTGAGCTTGCCCACTCCTTCTGCCTCTTTAAACCAAGGATTCATTTTGCTCAGTTGCTCACATGGCCCCTCTACTGCCTGTGATTTTTCAGTCACATGGAAATGAATCTTCCATACTGGACAGCGCCCTCTCCTGGAGCTGGGGAGCGCATTTGACTTTAGACCTGGGTGACTGACAGCAGGGGCCTTCTGCTTGGGAAGGAAAGGTTACAAGGAAACTGTTCACTCTGTCCGGAGTCTCAGACAAAGTCTCTCAGAGACACCATGCCTCCTCCAGAGAGACGAGAAATAGCTTAGTTTTGTCCAGGAATTGTGTCGCGCATCTATGAAGAACCTGGAGGCTGAAGCAGGGAGGCATCTGGAGTTCAAGGCCAGTCTGGGCTATAGGGAGACCCTGCCTTTATTATTATTATTATTGATTTTCAAGACAGGGTTTCTCTGTAGCTTTTTTGGTTCCTGTCCTGGAACTAGCTTGCCTCGAACTCACAGAGATCCGCCTGCCTCTGCCTCCCGAGTGCTGGGATTAAAGGTGTGTGCCACCACCGCCCAGCTTTTTTGTTTGTTTTGACTGCTTTTATTTTTAAAAAAGGAGTGGAGGAAGAGGAAGGAAAGAGGGAGGGATGAGGAAAGAATATGTAGTTTGAGGAGCGAGTGGCACGGTGCAGGTCTGTGGAGACTCAAATTCAAATATCTTCAGGGCCAGACAAATGGGCAAAGTGGGTAGTGGGGAGAAGCAGAGGAGCATAGAGGTGAGGTCACAGCCCTCAGGGCTGGAGGCCATCTAGGGAAAAGGCGACTGAGTTCCCGTCAGGGTCAAGAGACCTGGGAATGCCATGTGGTTTTTAATGTGAAATTCCCCCAATTTAAAGTTTTGGGCGGTCCCTCTAAAGCGGCAGTTCTCAACCTGTGACAACAGATATCCTGTAGTAATGAGGAGCGGTGGGCTACTTCCCGCTGCCCAGCTCCCAGCTAGCTTTACCCGAAATAATTACATGGAAACTGTATTCATTTAAACACTGCCTGGCCCATTAGTTCTAGCCTCTTATTGGCTAACTCTCACATCTTGCTTAACCCATTTCTAATAATCTGTATGTCACCACATGACTGTGGCTTACTGGGAGAGATTCAGCATATCTGACCTGGCAGCTTCATGGCGGCGGCTCACTGCCTCCCTTCTTTCTCCCAGCATTCTGTTCTGTCTACTCCGCCTATCTAAGCTGCTGTCCTATCAAAAGGCCAAGGCAGATTCTTTATTTGACCAATGAAACCAACACATAGACAGAAGGCCCTCCTACTCCATTTCCCCTTTTTCTGTTTAAACAAAAAAGAAAGGCTTTCACTTTAACATAGTAAAATTACATATAACATCAGATATTTACATTATGATTCATAACTGTAGCAAGATTTTATGAAGTAGCAACAAAAGTAATGTTACGGTTGGGGTCACCACGACATGAGAAAACCCTGCTGTCGGTCAAAGCAGCATAGACCAGAGCAACTTTTCTTCATACCTGTTACAGACAGATGCGTCTACCCAAGCAAGTAGCCCTACACTGTACTACCCTGCACACACACAACGCTCGTGATGCTCTTGGCCATGTGACATTGAACTCAGGAGGCTAGGTCACCTTGTTGCTGTCTGTGTAAACACACACTATAATGTTCCACAGCTAGGGAACAGCCAACCACGCTTTCTGAGAACTCTTAGGCAATGTGCAAGGTTATGTCAAAACAGAACTCAGGTCAGACTAAGCCACAGCCATACACATGAGAACACCAGGCACCAATACTGTCAAGAGATCAATAACTCCCAGTGTTACCACTACCCCCGTTTCCTCCCATCCAGCCTTCCAGTTGGTGAGCAAATGCTCTTTACCTGTCGTGGGTGGGAAAGCTGGGCAGTAAGGCTGTCCGGAGGGAGCTCCAGCCATCTTGATCACATTTGCCTTCTTCTCTAGGGTGGTGAAATTCCGCCGCACAGGAGAGAGCGCAAGGTCAGAGGACGACGTGGCTTCCGGAGAGCATGACGTTCAGATCGAGGGGGTCCGAGTAGGCCTAGAAGCAGTTGAGCTGGATGATGGGGCTGCTGTGCCCAAGGAGTTTGCCAATCCCACTGATGGTAAGAAGGCCCGGAGACTCAGGCATTAGGCTGGCACTCTGCTTGCCTGCTGTGGTGGTCTTACGGAGTTCTTGTGAAGGGGCAGCTGGGAAGGCACAGACACCGAAGGGTGGCACTGGCAGGGTAGGCTGGGACTCCAAGGCCTACTTCAGGAGGGCATGGTTACCTCACAATCCTTGCTAGATGCATCGTTGCGCACTTGGCTGAGAAGAGCAGCAACAACTCTGCTGCCGCTGACGGTGCCGAAGGTGGTGCTGATGGTGCTGATGCTGAAAATGGTTGTAGTGATGACAATGATGATGATTATGATATGATAACTATGGTGATGGGGGTGGTGGTGGTAATGGCGATGGTGGCAGTAAAGATGGTGGTAATGAGCCGGGCAGTGGTGGTGCACACCTTTAATCTCAGCACTTGGGAGGCAGAGGCAGGCAGATCTCTGTGTGTTTGAAGCCAGTCTGGTACACAGAGTGAGTTCCAGGACAGCCAGGGATGTTACACAGAGAAAAAAAAAAGATGGCGGTAGTGATGGTGATAACCATGATGATGGCCATTGTGGCGATGGAGTAATGATGGTGATGGTGGTGCTTGTCTCAGTCTGAAGACCATGACCATTGCAACTCTTATCAAGGAGAACATTGCGAGTGTTCTGTGTTGTGTGGGTCTAGTGAAGAAAGAGGTCACTCCAAAATGAAATTTTAAGGCCTGTATAGTCTCTGAAAAACTGAACTGAATCCCGAACAGCCAAACAAAGGCACATTTATTGATTGTTACAAGAAGCTGTTTTTCAGGTAAATTATTCCTCATGCCAAGGTCCTCTCTAAAGGGAAGCATCACATGCCCTCATGACTTTAATTCTTTTTTTTAAATTTTTTATGGTTTATTTAGCTTTATTTTATGTGCATTGGTGTGAAGGTGTCAGATCCCCTGGAACTGGATTTTCAGACAGTTGTGAGCTGCCATGTGGGCACTGGAATTTGAACCCGGGTCCTCAGGAAGAGCAGTCAGTGCTCTTAACCGCTGAGCCATCTCTCCAGCCCCGATGACTTTAATTCTTTATTGTGTATCTTTTGCAATGCATGATAATCTCAGAGCCTCAGATATGCCAGAGGCATCTTGTGGCCAAAGTCATGTGAAGGCTGTAACGTCCCTTCAGAAAAACAATTCTCCAAATCACGGAAAACAATCAGTTTTCACAATAATTCTTCAAAGTCAAAGTCCTTCTAGAAAACAACTACTCATTCTAGTGCCTACACCAGATACAGCGATTCTGCTAAATTCTCACAACAAACATTGAATTGGGGTGGCTTGCTGTCATGGAGGGCATGGTGGCATGCAGACAGACATGGTGCTGGAGAAGGGGCTGAGAGTTCTACATCTTGGTCCACAGGCAGCAGGAGCAGACTGTGTGCCACATTGAGTTAGCCTGAGTATATGACACCTCAAAGGTCGTTCCCATGGCAAGACACTTCTTCTCACAGGGCACTAATAGTGTCACTCCCTATGGGTCTGTGGGGGATATTTTCTTTCAACCCACCACAGTAGTGATGACGGTGATGGTCATGATTGATGGTGGTGATGATGGTGATGATTGGTAGTGATGATGATGGCGATGATCACAATTGGTGGTGGTGGTGATGATGATGGTGATGGTCATGATTGGTGGTACTGATTGTGATGGTCATGATTGGTGGTGGTGATGATGATGATAGTGATGGTCATGATTGGTGGTGATGATGGTGATAACGGTCATGATTGATGGTGGCAATGATGGTGATGCTAATGATTGGTAGTGATGATGATGGTGATGATGGTCATGATTGGTGGTGGTGATGAGAGTGATGATTATAAGGGTGATAGCTATGATGTTAATTCTTACAGCAGCACATGCTGTGGTTAATTAGCCTGTCTGGGGACCACCATCCAATAGATATTGACCCCTTCTCTCCTCCCCCTTTGCCTTCCTAGACACTTTTATGGTGGAAGATGCGGTGGAAGCCATTGGGTTTGGAAGATTTCAGTGGAAACTCTCTGTTCTCACTGGCTTGGCTTGGGTAAGTATCTGGGCATAGCATCTCATGGACACTCCAAGGATCCTCCTGAAGCTCAGCTAGATACCATGGCAACAAGAATAGCACAGCTCGCCCCACACAGAGCTCCTGCCTGAATGCCAATCAGCAAAATTCATATAGTGTGGTGGCCCAGGTGCATGCTGGGAGGAAGGTGGACATGGTTGGCCATCACCCTCAGGAGGCATCCAGCTACTTAAGTGAATCTCTGCCCTTGGGGACTCAGGGCTACTGTGAGGTGGTGGTGTTGGGTCATATCCCCACCCAGGAAAACAGACTTCATAGAAAGTTGCCATCTGGGCTGGGAGTATAGTTCAGCATGTTTGCCCAGCCATGTGCCAGGCACTGGGTTCTACCCCAGCACTGCAAAATGCAAAATAAAGCAAAGAGTGCCTTCTGATTCAAGGTTTCCACAAACGCTAGCTAAGGAACCCTTATAGAGCTACAACACCGAATCTTTAATCTAGCTGCAATGCTTCTCTGAGCATGGTGTGAGATGTGACCTGAGCACATGTTTCAAAATGGACCACCAGTTTCTCTGCTGCCCCCCACATTCCTGTGGCCTGTGTGTGGATCTACCTTTACTGTGCCCCACACTCCCCTGGCCTGTGTGTGGGTCTGCCCTTACTGTGCTCCACACCCCTGTTACTTGTTTGTTGGTCTGTTTTAAATTTTCCAATATTCTGTCTAGTCATAAAGTAGTATCAAGACATTTAGTAACTGGGGCTTCTTAATATATGCTAATATATTCAAACACTGTGTTCATTAAATATGCAGAGAATTCTTCATGAACACATGACCGACCAGCAAAAGACAAAGGAGTAAACTGCACCGAAGGAAAAAAGACCAGACTGTCTTTCTATCTTTGTGAAAATGTGTGCTTAGCTTTTAGGCACGTGGCACTTTCTCACTTCATCTGGGGAGCACCTGTGTTTTTTATCACGTGTGTGTATGTGTGTGTGTGTGCATGCACACACGCATGTGTGTGTGCCATGGTGAACATGTATGTGGTGGTCAGAGGACAACTGGCAGGGACAGGAGTTGGTTTGTTCCTTTCACCATGTGGATCCTGGGGACCAAATTCATGGCCTCAGGCTTGGCAGCAAGTGTTTGTTATTATTAATCAGTCTATAGTGGTATATTATCTATGTTTTAATAAATAAAGCTTGCCTGAAGATCAGAGAGCAAAGCAGCCATACAGGCCAGGCAGTGGTGGCTCACACCTTTAATCCCAGGACTTGGGAGACAGAGGCAGATGCATCTCTGTGAGTTCAAGGCCACCCTGGCTACAAGATATTGAATCTGTCTAAAAGAGAAACAGAGCTCACACAGAGGTGATCCCAACACTTGCGATCACACACCTTTAATCCCAGCACTAGGGAGGTGGAGACCCTAGTGATAAGCTGGGTGAAGAGAGGAATGTAAGGGGGAGGAGCCAAGAACTGAGCGGAGTGTGGAGTGTGGAGTCTTCAGGACTCATGGAAACAGGATCTCGTCCATTTTCTGTCTGAGGTGGAGGTAAGAGTCAGTGGCTAGCTGCTTTGCTTTTCTGATCTTCAGGTTGAACGCCAATATCTGTCTCTGGGTTTTCATTATTCATGCTACAGCTGTCTCATTGACCCAAGAACCTGTGTTTTTAAAAATAGGGGGAAATGATGCTGTCCATGGTGCTAAGTGTAAGTAATCCCAGCATGCAGGAGATGAAGGCAGGAAGATTGCTGGTTTGGACCAGTCTGGACTACATAATGAGGCCCTGTCTCACAAACAAACAAAAACCACTACAGGGGCCAGTGAGATGGCACACACACACACACACACACACACACACACACACACAAATGTAAATTTAAAAAATGACTGGAGAAATGGCTCAGTGGTTAAAAGCACTGGTTGCTCATCTGGAGTACCCAGGTTCAGTTCCCACAATTCCTAGTGCCCACATGGTGGGTCACAATTTCCTATAACTCTGGGGGATCCACCGCCCTCTTCTGGCGTTTAAGGGCACTGCATGCACCTAATGCACAGACCTACGTGAAGGCAAAACACCCATTTGTACAAAAGAAATAAATATGAGGCTTAAAAATAAATTTTTAAAGCAAGCAGACACTGTGAGGAAACCCAACAAGCATGTCAGGTGTCGCCTGAGTCCCCATGTAGCCGCTCATTGGTTCCGTCCCAGAGGCTTTCCCATGGATGTCTGGCCAGATGCCAGCAGGGCAGCTCACACTTTGGCCTCAGGGTTTCCCTTCTTCCCACAGATGGCTGACGCCATGGAGATGATGATCCTGAGCATCCTGGCACCTCAGCTGCACTGTGAGTGGCGACTCCCCAGCTGGCAGGTGGCACTGCTGACTTCGGTAGGCAGCCCAGCAGTTCACAGATTCCCCTGGTGTCCTGTGGGAGCGCTGCCCATCTCCTGCTGCCAGGGCTCAGCAGAGAAGAGCCAAGCTGTCCTAGAGAGGAAAGGGTTCATTCTGCGTATAGTCCCACTGCAGAGTGCATTGCTGGGGGAAGTCAGTGCAGGGACTCAAGGTGGAGCCTGGAGGCAGGAGCTGAAGTAGACGCTGTGGAGAACGACAGCCTACTGTCTTGCTCCTCACTGCTGGGTTTTACCTTTTATAGCACCTGGATCACCTGGCAGTGATCATCCACAGCGAACCATGACCTTAATCAGGACATTAAACGTCAATCAAGGGAATATACCACAGGCTTGCCCACAGGCCAATTGGTGGAGGAATTTCCTCAACTGAGTTTCTCTCTTCTGGAATGACTGTAGCTTATGTCAAGGTGATATAAAACTAGCCAGCACACTAGCCCTGGATGGAAACGCTGATATCGGCTCCTCTTAGCTCCTCCCACCCAATGCCCTACCCCTGTGACCGGTCCCAGCAAGTTAGCAACCAGCTCTACCCCTCCAGAGCTTTAGCTCCTTGGGAACCTCAAACAATCTGGAACCCACCACAATGTGCATGTATACCGTAGGAGCCTCACATCCCCGCTGTACCCTGCTTTCCAGGAGGGTAACGTGAGGGTTAGAAACACTGCCCTTGACAGGCAGTCGACTCCAGTAAGTGCTGTGCTCTCTGGAGAGAATCTCTGAAGGTAACTGAGGCCGAATCCTCCAATTTTTTGCTCTGGGAATTCAGAGGAAGGGATAAAGGCCAGGGGAGAGAACAGCAACCATGATCGCAATGTTTCTGAAAGCTTTATGTCCAAAGGGCGGAGCCATGTTGGATACAGTGTACACCTGTGTTAGCTACTAGTCTCACTGCTGACTGTAACCCTGACAAGGAACAACTTAAGAGAGCCGGGTTGACTTGGCAGGTGGTCTGAGGAGATACAGTGTGTCCGGTGGGCAAGGCATGAAGGAGGAGTGTGGGGAGCTGGTCGCATGGCATCCCCAGTCAGGAAACAGATGATTCCTGGTACCCATATCTCTCTCCTTTTTATTCAGTCTGGCTCATGGGATAGGGCTATCTGTGATTAGAATGGCTTCCCACCTCCATCTGCCCCGTTAAGACCCCCCCTTCTCAGTCATGCACACGGGCTTGTCTCCTAGGTAACACTAGACCCTGTCAAGTTGGCAGTGAACACTAATGACCACAGCACATCTTCCGTTGTGCCCTTTGACTGTCATGAAGGGAAGAGAGGCAGATAGATTAAGCTGCTCACTCCAGTCACACAGCTCGGCTGTGGCCAAGCTGTGGCTAATTAGTGATGGACCCCAGGTTTGAGCTTTATGAGTTTGATCATTATGGCGATTTTATCTGATTGTTTGGGGTGCTATGTAAGGTAAAACATGACTAATCTGAGCAGTGAGGTCACAGCCCAGTGGGAGTCATTTTTGTGGTTAAAGCTTTAGCAGGGGTGGAGTGTGATTGTTGGGAGACCTGCTTAAGGGTGGTGGTACCCACCTTTAATCCTAGCTCTCAGGAGGCTGAGACAGGAGGATTGAGAATTTGAAGGCAGCCTGAACTACACAGACAGACCCTGTCCCAAAACGAAAAAGGAGCTGTCTCAGCAACAGGTTTATCTGCTCTGCAGTGCTGTGTGTGTGATTGTGTGTGTGTGTGTGTGTGAGAGAGAGAGAGAGAGAGAGAGAGAGAGAGAGAGAGAGAGAGAGAGAGAGAGAGACTAATTGCTGTTTCCTTTCACTCCGTGCTGCTAATAGAAACTGTCTGTCTGCCCATAGGTGGTGTTCATCGGCATGATGTCCAGTTCCACGCTCTGGGGAAACATCTCAGATCAGTACGGCAGGAAAACAGTAAGGCCCCTCCCCTAAATGCTCACCCTCTGTGGCAGTCCAGACATCATGGGGCAGCACAATACAGCCTGACGCGTTAGCAGGGGTGGGATGTGACTGCAGTATCGTGGGTGCAGAAGGCACATCTGAGAGGCCAGGGGATGTTCTGTGCCAACATGTGTCCCTACACCACGATGGGTGAAGGATGGTAGATGACGTCAGCTCTTTTGTCCTAGAAGAATGCATCCTGTCTCAGTCTGCCAGGCAGGAGCCTTCCCTGGCCTGCCTTCCATATCCACTGTTCTGACGGGGATTACTGCCTGGTTTAAATGTTTGTTGCGGCCATGGCAGTGAATATCCCAGCATTCAGAAGGCCCAGGCAGGAGGATTTTGAGGAATCTGAGGTCAGTCTGGGCTAGAGAGACCCTGTCTCAAGTGAAACAAAACACCATTTGTGCTGGACCGCTCATGTCTGGTCTGCTTTAATGATATAAAACGGCTTTATAAACAGGAAGGAGGGGAAAGTGGCTGGAATCCCACCCGGCTCCTGCCACAGCTCTCAGTTCCTCCAAGGCTTTGATGAGAGATTCCCTTTATCGGGTATTCCTCTCACTTTATTAGACTGCTCTTGGGTCACTGACATTCTCTGTAGGCAAAGTTAGTCCCCTCCCATCTGTCAACTTGGGCCCAAGGAGCTCTACACAGCTGGCGTGGGGTATGCTCCCCATCCTTTCTTTTATTTTTTACATTTATTTATTTGTGTGTGTGTGTGTGTGTGTGTGTGTGTATACAGCCTCCTGTTCCACAGCACATGTGTAGAGGTCAGAAGATAACTATGGGGAGTCCGTTCTCTCCTTCCACCATGTGGGCGGCAAGGAGGGAACCCTTGTGGTTAGGATTGATTTTGGAAAGTTTTTACCCACTGGGCCATCTCACTGACCCAAGAGTTTGGATCTTAAAAACTCGTAAGTGGATTTTCAATAATGATGTTACTAAATCTTATAAATTATAACCCCAGTTTTGCACTTTTCAGGACACTGCTTCTCAATACAGGGGAGGGGAATATTTGATGATGTGTGGGCAGACTGGGTTGTGACAACTAAGGGAAGAGGTGACAATGGCATCTCATAGGTAGACGCCAGGAGTCCCATCCAGCCCCCAGGTGGGTGGCACTGAGGGACCTGGTCCAGAGAGAAAGTGCCTGCCTCCGACACTGCTGTCACTTGCAGAGTTAATCCCATCACCTGGGACCATAAGGCTTTATCCAATATCCATGTGGTTGGTTCATTCTAGCAAACAACAAGGGACCATCTCTCTGTGGAAAGCATGGGCCTGAGCCAGGCTGCTTGGGGTCAGGTCACAGCTACTTCCCAGACAAACTCCTGAGCCTTGTGTCCTCATGCCTACGTGGTATGGCTCGGACACGCCAAAGCCTTGCACGCGAGGTCTTGGCAGAGATAAATCATTTCATAAATGTCTATTACTACTCTTGCTGTATGTCAAGCTTGTCCCCATTCATAGTAGGCAGCATCCACACACTGGCACCTTCCTCTAGAGTCCAGGTTCTTCACCATGGCCTCAGCTGCTTACAGACCTGAGTTCTCCCCAAAGAGATCAGTCCCAAAGAAACGAGGCTGCATGAAGTGCTGCCCATAACGTGTTCTGCTGGCTCTGCTCCTAGGCTAGCTAAGTTTCACACCCAACAGGCTGCCGGAGAGAAAGGAGAAGTGTCCTCCAATGGCTTCTCCTCCCATGATGGAGTTTCTGTGCAAATTCAGGAAGCAAGGAGCCGGCTGTAATTAGGAAGCCTCCCCCGAGATCCTCCAAGGGCTTGGGCGCAACAGGTCACCTGCCAGAAGCGTCAAACACAGAAGGGCTTCTTACTGTCTTGGTCCAAGTGATAGGTTTTCATGTCCATCTGAGTGTCTGCATTGGGGCTCAGTGAGGTACTTTAGTTCAGATGGAATTTCCTAATGCCTGGGGGCTTATGTCAACCATAGAAAGGTGAGGACAAGGAAGTTATATCCTCACTCCCACCATCCATTCTTCCACTCCCATGGAGAAAGGCAAGTTGCTTCACCTCTCTGAGCCTCAGTTTCCCTGCATGCAAACAAAGGTGACAAAAAGAACAAAGGGGGAGGGGCCCAGCCAGAAAATATATGTAGGACTGGGGTGCAGTCCAATGGGTGAGTGCTTGCCCAGTACACACAAAGCCATGCTCCCTCTCAGTACCAAATAAAACTGGGTGTGGGTGGCACACGCCTCTAACCCCAGCGCTAGGGAGGGAATGGACGATTCAGCAGTTTAAGGTCACCCTGGTACACAGTGAGTACAAGACTAGCTTGGGCTACACGAGACTATCTCAAAAAACAAAATGAAGTATGTGTAATATGCATAAGTGTTTGCCAATGCGTGTTAGAATGTTCTAGTTGTAATTACTACAGTTCAGAGTGTGGGTGGTGTAATCAGGTCACCCGGTCAGAGAGAACCAAGAATGCATCCCAGGCTTTCTGGGTTACAGGTTGCAAACTGGTAACCCAGAGACAGACACGTCCAGTGTGTTCTAGATTTTAGTGCTGGGGGTTGACCCCAGGCCCTGCAGCGTGTTAATCGTGTCTCCTAGCCCTGAGCTACACCCCAACCCCACAGTTTATTCATCCTTCACAGGGTTTTATGGGGTTTTCAATGAGTTGCCTCTATTCTAAAAAGATACATTTTAAAGCATAAAAACAACAAAAAAAAGGGGCTTATAGCTTTTTTGGAAACCTGTGTTACCTAGTGACTGGGACTCACCATCTCTCATCGTGACTTTTCGTCATAACTCAGTAGAAACCCATGAAGTGAGGGCAGTCCACTCATTGGCTCAGTCCCCAGCTGTCCCTGCCAGGGCTCACCTGCCTGAAGAGTTCAGTTTGCTGGAGATTGGTGGAAGCTACCAAAGGCCCTGGAGGAAGGAAGTGGCTTCTTCGAAGCTCAACTCTCAGGCATTGGAAGCTCTGGCTGTGGGTGTGGCCCTGATATGTGCTGATTTTGCACGAATCACTCTCCCACTCTGCCGCAACAATTCATAAAACAGAGATGAGAAACCTCCTTCCCACAGGGGTTCTACAATGAACCCACACAATTGTGCGAGAACAGTTTTTAAAATGCAGACAAGAGTCCTATGAAGTCAGAGACTGTATCATGAAGGGGGGCTTCTGTCCTGCCCAGTACCCCACAACTGTTTAGCCCCAAAGAAAATCACACATAGGTCTCCATAAATTATAAGCTGATTGGCCCATTATAAGCCATAGCCTCTCATTGGCTAACTCTCACATCTTGATTAGCCCATTTTTCTGATCATGTGGCTCAGTACCTTTTTTCAGTGGGGCAGATCACATCCTGCTGCTTCGGTGGTCTAGGCAGGAGTGGGAGGAATCAGCTTCCTCCTTCCCAGAATTCTCCTCTTCTCATTACATCATTTCTACTTCCTGTCTGGTTTTCTCGCCTATACTTCCTGCCTGGTCAATCAGCATTTATTTATAACATGATTGACAGAATACAGACAATTCTCCCGCACCAAGAGACTCAACTGTCCGGTTTGTTCCTGCCGTTCAGTGCCAAGCAAGCAGCAGAAACTCAGTACATACATGCCATGTGGTTGGATGGGTAGATGGTATGTTTCAGCAGTCCTGTGGCCAAGTACACAGCAGCTACTTGACATATGCATATTGAAGAAAAAGATGCATAAATTATGGATATATCAGCATTGTTATGCTAGGCACATAGCAAGTGTTCAACATATGTGCACATTGATAAGTCAGTGGCTAAATTAGCAAGTGAATGCTGTCTCTCAGTATCCGGCCAGCATCCCTTAAATAACATTTATCTTGAATTTGTTTCTCCATCTCTAAGGGTAATTAACACTTTCTAAAATTTGTACCATATTTGTCATGCTGTCCCTGTCTGATTCTCAACCCCAGTGAACATCATGTCCCCTTTACTTAAAACTCATAATCAATATTAATCACACTGTTAGCCGGCTATCGTCTGCTATAAAACAAGCACCCAAGACAAACCAGCGTTTAGAGATAAAAGGTTTGTTGGGCTCACGGTCTGTGAGTCTTCAATCTGTGGAAGGATCACTGTTAGCTCTGGTCCAAGTGCATCCGTTCTGTGTCCCCTCATCCCCTGAAATAGAGAAGAGTGACGGTCTAGGAAGGATCAGAAGCCTTCTTCTGGGTTTACGGTGAGAATGTTGGAGATGGCGTGAGATGCACAGCCATCTGTTTACCTCATGGCTAACCCTCTGGACCCTAACCGGCACTGATGGTACTCCACACACAGCCAGAGTGGCCCAGGTTGCCTGACACCCGGCGTGCCCCTGCCTGTGTGGGTTGCTTATAAAGTGGAACTATTGATAACTGAAAATCTTTTGAGATTTTATGTATTTTTATTTTATATCTATGGGTGTTTTACCTGTGTGTATGGCTGTGTGTCATGTGCCTGCTGTACCCATGGAGGCCAGAAGAGGGTTCAGATCCTGGAGGTCCCACGGCTCCTGTGACTCCTTGTCTCGTCTCCACAGGGGCTGAAGATCAGTGTGCTCTGGACCCTGTACTACGGCGTCCTCAGTGCTTTCGCACCCGTGTATAGTTGGATCCTGGTGCTCCGAGGCCTGGTGGGCTTTGGGATCGGAGGTGTGCCCCAGTCGTAAGTAAATACCCAGCTTTGGCCTAAAAACACCTCTGTATGCATAGGTTCAGTCGCCATGGATTTAAAAATACTCAGGGGGCCGGGCGGTGGTGGCGCATGCCTTTAATCCCAGCACTTGGGAGGCAGAGGCAGGCGGATCTCTGTGAGTTCGAGACCAGCCTGGTCTACAAGAGCTAGTTCCAGGACAGGTTCCAAAACCACAGAGAAACCCTGTCTCNGATCTCTGTGAGTTCGAGACCAGCCTGGTCTACAAGAGCTAGTTCCAGGACAGGTTCCAAAACCACAGAGAAACCCTGTCTCGAAAAACCAAAAAAAATAAATAAATAAATAAATAAAATAAAAAAAATACTCAGGGAAGAAGTGAACGTGTTGGGACCCCACCCTTGTCATTAGTCGCTAGAGAATATACACCGTTGGCCACGAGGCTAACGTTTGTACTATGGTATGTGCTATCAGCCATCTAGTAAAGATTTAGAGCATACAGGGGTGTGTGTCCGTCAAATATTACGTCATTTTGTAGGAGGGGAATGAACAGCCCCAGGTTTAGGTCCCAGAGCCCTGGAGATAAGGGGACAGCTGTGTTGGGTTTCTAGAACCTGGAGCCACCGTGGGAAAGGCAGCCTTAGCATCAGTATCCTTCAGCTGACAGCAGCATCAGCACAGCGTCCAAAGGTCCTAACAGCAAAGTCAGAACAAAGCAGACCCAACTTTGATGGTACATTTAACGTCCCCACATCGGGGCTGCTAGGAGGGGTGTGTGTGCCGATGGATCTCACAAGCTCCATTTTTCAGTGGTGGACACTGAAACTCAGAAAAGGTGATAGTCTTTATTCCAAACAACCCACTACAACCCTTGGGCCAAAGCAAAGCCTGTACAGGTCCAGCTGTGAGCTCTTGCAGGCAATGTTCCCGGCTGGTGCAGAGGGAATGAGGGAACAAGCCCCTGGTTCAGGCGTTGTGCCTGAACTAATCCAGCAGCTTAGTGTGACACCCAGTGCAGTCTGCCCCTTGGGCTCCTCAGAGGGCCATGCACCCTGATGTGTGCCCATCATAGGACGGTCCGTCCCTCCAGGACTTGGCCAGCCTCTCCTGCAGACTTTCCCAAGGACTGGAGGGATGGGCCACAGGCCCTGCTACTGCTGCTGGTCTCGGGTGCCAATTCTCTTCCTCCTCTGCCACCCGGTCTAAAGGCCCCATCTTCAGCATGAGTGATTGTTGATGTAGCTGGTCCATCAGGTGGGTGACCAGACCTCACAGCACAGGGGTCCCATCCCTGGTCACCACACCCTTTACAGGCCAGGGCTGTAGTGCTTGTTCTTGCGCTTCACTGGGGGAACTCAGAGACATCCATGGCGCCCCCTGATGGCCTTACTGGCTCCCAATTATTAGGGTCAGTTTCTCTCACTGGCAAATGTGGATTCTGTGTTTGCATCTTTCTCATTTAAATCTGGAACCCAAAGTTACCAGGTGGCAGCTGTTGCTTACAGTCTTATGGGACTTCAGATGTGATGACACACGTCTTTCATGCCAGCACTTAGGAGGCAGAGGCAGAGAGAGCTCTATGAGTTTGAGTTGGAAGCCAACCTGGTCTATATTAAGTTCTAGACTTGGCAGGGCTAAAGAATGAGATCCTATCTCAAAAAAAAAAAAAAAGTCTCAAATAACAACAGCAACAAAAAATATCTTTGGGATTATTTTTTTATATGTATTTATAATGTATACAATATTCTGTCTGTGTGTATGCCTGAAGGCCAGAAGATGGCACCAGACCCCATTACACATGGTTGTGAGCCACCATGTGGTTGCTGGGAATTGAACTCAGGACCTTTGGAAGAGCAGGCAATGCTCTTAACCTCTGAGTCATCTCTCCAGCCCATCTTTGGGATTCTTGAACTGTGCAGGTCTGAAAGCTTTCTCTCTCAGAGCTAAGACCGCGGGAAGATGCTGAGGCTAAGTCCACACAAATTCACCCCGTAGCAACAAAATCTATGATAGCAATAAAAATCACTCTGGAAGTCACTTTAATGCCTTGACTTCTAGAACCATCTATTCTTTTTAATGGGAATGCCATCACCTAAGGACTGCTGGTTTAAAAGGCATGTGTGCATGCTTCATTGTTAAAGAGCTCCGTGTGCAAGCTGGTGCCTCGCCATTGCTCAGGCGTCAGTGCCAAGGGAGGCACAGCATGTAACATATACACCCATGGGCCTCTTTGGGGACAATCTGGAGACCTGATCTCTAGAAAGGGGAGGTTCATCCTGAATCAGTGTGGCTGAATCACAGTCTCTGCAAACCAGAGGACCTGGGTATGAATCCCGACTCAGCTCTTTGGTCTTAGACATGTCACTGATCCTTCCTACATGGTAATTTTATCAGCACCTGCCCTCTTGATGGGTCCCCTAGAGCATCATGATACCACATATGAAGTACTCAGGACAGTGCCTGGGAGAGAACTCCCTTCCTATGAACTATCCTCCTGGGTCATCCTAGGCTCTGTCAAGTGCCCTGTCACTTCATATGAGAGACTCGATCATCCCCAGGTTTGCCTAGCATGCCCTTGGCTGGATCCCCAGCACCGTAAACCGAGTGTGTTTTCTCATACCTGTAATCTGAGAACCTGGGAGCTCAAGGCAGGAGATCAAAGTTTTAGTTAGGTAACAATTCCAAGGCCATCTTGGAATACTTGACACCATGTTTCCAAACAAGCCAGCAAACATTTTCCTATAAAGCCAGATCTTGGCATCCAGTTTCCCACAGCACTGATGAGAAAGTCACATGACAGACAGTGTTGTGGTGTGGGGGTGAATGACAGATGGAGTGTAGTGTGAAGGGGAGATTGACCACATGAACCTAACACCCATGTTTAGCCTCCTGCCTTGTGGAAAGTCAGTGAGGCCTTCCAGATGGCTTCTTCCTGGGCTCTGTAGAGCTGGCCTCCGGCAGGCTTTCCTGAAGTGAAACACCATGATTGCACACTAGTTAGGAATTAAAAACCACTGGCGCTCGAAGCAAAGACCAGTAACAGAGACACGGTCATCAATCTGGGCTGGCAGCCGCTAGTAACCAGTGTGGCTCGGCTCCAGAGATTCCTGCACATGAGCCACCGTCCACACAGCGGCTCCCTCTGGTGGCTGGAGCAACTATCCTGGCTCACGTGAATTCCTTCCCCAGGGATGCTCAGGGACGCTAGAATGGCAGAAGAGACGTGCTGCACCCTAAACTTCTGCTTACAAACATCCCCTGGAAATGACATAAAGGTGATAGGACTCTAATGAGCTCATAAGCAGGAAAGGATGCTCTAAAAACAGATAATTTGAGGAACTTCTGGAAACATATGAGTATATGGAATTACACGGCAGAGTAATTAGAACAAAGGAAGATTATACCCCAAACAAACAATAGAGGACCACATGATGAAAAGGGCTCCCAGAGTCTGGGAGAAGTGTCATTCCCAGAGTCCTCAGGGATGGGGAAAAGGGCACCAGGCATTGAATGACAAAACTTTCCCTGGGAAGACAGAGCACACATGTCTACACACCCAGACAGGCGACCCACTACTGACCAAAGTACAGATACCACCCAAGTCCAACTGGGTGAACCAGTGAGTTTTATTGGGGTTACTTACTTAAGGGTGAGGGGTTACTTACAGGAGCAGAAATGACTCCTATACAGCTGGATCACCAAGGCCCACTCCAGTACGGGGTACAGCTCATAAAACCTAGGACCCTGGAGTACACTGCACAGCCTGCATCAGTTTGGAGCATGGTCCTTCCTGGTGCCTCCGTTGGTCTAAACTTCTTCGAGGCAGCCGGTCTCCTCTGGAGTCTTCTTTGCAGCTCAGTCCAGCTCCACTCCTCTGGGAAGGACTCTCAGCTTTGATTGCTCACTGTGGCAGGGAGGAGCCTAGGGAGTCTGGTCAGTTTCAGGGACTTCCTGACCTGCTTGAGTTGCTCTCCTTCAGGCTTAAGGAGAGAATGTTTCAATCTCCAAGGAAACCATTACACAACACTCCACCCCTTCAGCCAGCTCTTACCTTCTTTCTCATTCCTCTTCCCAAATGATTCCCGAGCCTTGAAGGGGTGATTACAGATGTCCACCTATGAAAGAAGTCGCCACACCAAGGCCGCCATGCCGAGGCCGCCATGCCTCAGTAACAGCCACTTGTTCTCAGGAACTTCACCAGTGGTATGAGTTGAGGCTGATAACAACTGTGGTCTGTTGTGTCAAACTGTGTGTGTGTGTGTGTGTGTGTGTGTAAATGCACACGTTTAGAAGGCAGTATGACAGGTGCATCACATCCATCCAGAAAAACCATAGAAGTTGCTTCCCCATTGGGTCCTATGACCTTCCTTCCCCAGTCATGGGATTTTGTCCTGAATTGTAGTATCAGATGTGAACTCTCTCTTGTGGAATGGGCCTTAAATGCAACTGGAAAGCCAGGCAATGGTGGTGCACACCTTTATCCCAGCACTCAAGAGGCAGAGGCAAGCAGATCTCTGCGAGTTCGAGGCCAGCCTGGTCTACAGAGTGAGTCCCAGGACAGGCTCTATAGATGCTGGGAAACACTGTCTTGAAAAACAAAAAACAAACAAACAAATGCAACTGGAAGGCGGTTGGTTCTGCCCACCATAGTTCGGCCACGATTGCATAGGAAGGAACATCCTGCCTAGAATAATGGTACTTTAACACACAGGATCCTTAGCCAAGCAGGAATGTTGGCGACATTTCTCCACCAGTAGCCTGCATGGCCCCTTCTGTCACTTTTGAAAGCCAGCCAGTGGGTGGAGTTTCCAGTTCAGTCCCAGCTTAATTTCTCCATGTCCCGCAGTCAAAGCATTACCTGTAGTGTCTTCAGCAGGAGGGTCTTACCGGCTCGTTCTGGAATACAACCAGCAGCAGTAATAGACTTAATGGTTTGTGGGGCCTCATGGGCTTCCCTGGCTAACAACCCACAGGGAGGTAGCACACCCCAGCCATTGAGGTGGTCATTCAAAAACCTTATGACATTTTGGAGTGTCCTTTTCCATCCATGTAGGGTACCTTTTGGACTTAAACTTTGTAGTTATTATTTTAACAACTATATTTTGTTTCAATTAACCGAGCCCCAGTAGGGTTGAAGGCGGGCAGAAGTACCATGGTACCTGGCTGTCTCCCATGGTTTTCCAAATCTGAATGACAACACTCAGAAGTCAGCATCCTGTCACCTATACCACAGCCTTTTCCAAAGGACAGGCAGGGAGGGTGAGGCAGCAACCCAAACCACCATCCCATAACAAAGGTAACCCCAGTGAAATACCCTAAAAGTCTGTAGTCATCCGTGCTCAGGAGTGTCAGTGATTTCAGTTCACATCTACAAAGATACCGAAGTCAAACACACTCATGGTCTAGAAGGGCATGGGAAGGGTCCATCCGTCTGTATCAGTTGCTTCCTCTACAGATCGAGGTTGGGTGCACGGAGGTACTGACTTGATTAGCTCACCGTAACCCTCAGTGGTTCACTCTGAGCCATTATATTTCCATATCCTGGAGTTCTTCCACGGAGCCTCCTTACACGCCTGACTTAATTTGCTCAGACCTACCCAGGGACAAGGGAGGACAAGGCCATGCTCTCCCAGCCGCACCTGCTGGCTTCCTAGGACATAGTGCCCTGGACTGGCACTGTGGCTGTGGCAGCAGCTACTGCCTCTCCAGTTACCACGGGCAGCTGTTAGGAGAGTTCCTGGCTGGGTAGCCATCTCCACTCCAGTATAACCTTTCTCTTAGTCTGGGTGATAATTACCCACCCGGGTCATGCTTGATCGTCTGCACCTGTACTGTTCTGTCCAATGTCTTTCACGAACTGCTGCTCCGGCTTTAACGCTTTCCTGAAGCCCACGATTTGATTTCCTGCCGATTTTCTTCTTAGGAACTCCAGCTCAATACCAACCCTGCCACATTTTTTTCCGAGTAATCCAGACAGACCTTCTTCTCTGTTTTATCTTCTCTGTTTTAAAAACATATCTTGTAGGTTGTACGTTCATTTATAGACACTCTTTATGTGATGGTCTGAGTCACTGAGATCTGCCAAAGCCTTCCTAGTTTATAATGATCTTGTGCCACCAAAGAGCTCAGCAAAGCCACCGAAGCTCTACACACACATGCCAAAGAGAGGAAGGAAGGGAGGAAGGAAGGAAGGAAGAAGGAAGGGAGGGAGGGAGGGAGGGAGGGAGGGAGAGAGAGAGAGAGAGAGAGAGAGAGAGAGAGGCATATGTGCCACAGGTCCCACAGCTAGTTCATGGCTGACCTGAGATTTCCTACATCTAAACAGCTGTGTTATCTGTTTAGAAGACAGATAAAACCACAAGCAAGATCACAGAAGCATTAGGAAGGCTCGGGGCCCCTTAGCACTTCAGATGTAGTCATTTACATAAGCCTAATTATGTTGTAATCAGCCAGCACTCTCATCTAGTTATAAAGATGACTCCCTAAGTGCTATGTGGGGAAACATTTAGGTGACAATATTTTTAGGTAGTCAGGTAATAGTAAAAGTTTCCATTCCTTTAGAGTAACTTTGCCCAGCCAGAGTTCCTCAGAAAACCACAAGAATGACATCTTGGCTTATAATTTTAAAATAAATCAACAGCCAGGTGTCATAGTAACAACTTGTGTGCCATCACGAGAACACAATGCCACAAGTGGGGTAGGTTATAAAGAAAGGTTTATCTCAGTTCATAGTCCAGGCGAAGACTGGGGCTGCATCTGCTGGTGACCAGCCACCTTGCTGGCAGCCACTGACCTGGCTCAAGCATAACGTGACAAGAGACAGGAGGCACACACATGTTCCCAGGTCTCCTTTCCAAACCTCCAAGATCCAACATGAACATGGTGGCTCTTTCCTGTGATCCCAGAGTTCCGGGGCAAACCAAGGAGGGTCACCATGGGTTTGAGATCAATCTGAGCTGCCTAGTGAGTTCCTGGTTAGCAAGACTGTCACCCTCCATAAAAGGTCAGGATTCAATCTGGGGACTGACCCTAATGATGCTATCTAACCCTGATCACCTCCCCCAGCCTTGAGTCTCCACCCCCAGACAGCACAACTGGATCAAGTTTAGCAGACTGAGGAGGAAGTGTCAACATATGAAAGCCCAGGCATATGTGACAGACACCCAAATTACAACAATGTGATGACAAGCCACTTGTAAGGGGCCCTTTTCCCTGCCTCTGTCCCTCTCATTCCTCCCCTCCCCAAACACATTTACACTGGCGATAAGAGCTACAGTTCAGCTGGGCAATGGTGGTGCACACCTTTAATCACAACAGGCAGAGGCAGGCGGATCTCTGTGAGTTGAAGGCCAGCCTGTCTACAAGAGCTAGTTCCAGGACAGGCACCAAAGCTACAGAGAAAACCTGTGTCGAAAAAAAAAAAAAAAAAAAAAAAAAAAAAAAAAAAAAAAAAAAAAAAAAAGGAGCTACAGTCCAGGGGCTGGAAGATGGCTCAGCAGTTAAGAGCACTGACTGCTCTTCCAAAGGACCCGGGGTCATTTCTCCGCACCCATGTGGCAGCTCACAACTGTCTGTAAATCCAGTTCCAGGGGACCTGACACCCTCACACAGTACAGTCAAAACGCCAATGCACATGACATAACTAACTATAGTACAGAGGATTCATTGCCGATGGTGACGCACCTGAGTATCACAGGACAGCTGTGCTACTGTCTTCCCACGTTTAGCCCAACCCTATCCCCATTTGACTAATCAGAAAACCAGCTCACAGGAGTCTTGGCCAAAGTTGTGTGCTCATTAGGTGAGCTGAGAATTAGCTATTGCTGGTCACGGATCACCTAGCACTTACAGGACAAGGATTTGCTTAACTCAAGTCCTGCAGTTGGGTGGTTCTACTGTGTCAGCGAGGCTGGCTTACATTTTCAGTCAAGGGGTGGAGTAGATGACCTGATAAACCTAGAAGGTTCCATCTGGCTCTACCCAGACATAGCCCCTGGGATCTAAGACAGGAAGCCACAGCCACAGTCTCCTGCATCCCAAGTTTGCAGCTAGCAATGCTGGGAATCAAACCTAACTTATAACTGCTGGCTGAGCCGTGCAGCCCTGACACCAACTGAGAAGAGCATGCTGCTCACAGGGCCTGCCCTTCTTGGAGGTTGATGCCAGAAGTAGAGGACTATTCCTCCTGGCAGTTTTTTGTCCTTTTTAAGACAGTAAGAGAAGTCTCAGTAAGGTACTGAGTGATCTCCCTTTATGTCTATGGGGAAGTGTAAGAGTTCTGTTGGGGCAGAGAGATGGTTCAGCAGTTGAGAGTGCTTACTGCTCTCGGAGGGGAGATGGGTTTAATTCACAGCACCTGTGTTCCATAGCACATAATGACTGCAACCCTAGCTCCAAAGGATCCAGTGCCCTCTTCTGGCCTGTGAGGGCACTGCACATGTGCAAGGCACACACACACACACACACACACACACACAAAATAAAAAAAAATCTTTGCCAAATTTTAAAAATGTTTGATTTGGTTGCTTAGGATATAGCCCACTGGTAGAGCCCTTGCCTTGCTTGTACATGGCCTGGAACTCAATCTCCAGCATCAAAAGGGCAAAACTGGATTAAAAAATGATTTACATGTATAACATTTTGACTGCATGTGTGCGTGTGCGCGCACATGCACATGTGCACCATGTGTGTGAAATACCTGCAGAGGTCAGAAGAGGGCATCTGGTCCCGTAGAACTGGAGTTGCAGGTGGTTACACCACCACGTGAGTGCTGGGAATCCAATTCCAGTCCTCCGAGCTCTTAAACAGTAAGCGATCTTCAGTCCCAACATTTGGATTCTACTTTTTAAAAGGGAGTTAAATAGTGCTCTTTTTTATCACTACAAGTGATTTTTGGGCTATAAAATAGAAAAAAAAATAAACAAAAATCTAACTAAAGTTGCAAACGTCCTTTCACGAGAATGAGGAGCAGATGGTGACAGTGAAGCAGTAGCGGTTTATGTCCAGTAGTTGGCGCTGTGAGCACCCACAGAGCATCGTTCAGGTAAAGTGATGCAGGGCCAGGACACATTCCAGGTGATCTAGTACACAGTGAAGGTCAGAGAACCCCTTGTAGGGGTCAGCACTCTTTCTACCGTATGGAGTTATAGGGATCAAACGCGGGACACTGGACTTGGCAGCAGGCACCTTTTATTGGCTGACCCATCTTGCCATCTCCAAAAGAGCTTTCTTATATTAGGATGTGATTAATAAATGCAAGAAGAAAGACAAATTAAAGCCACAAATTGTCACCAATGCAGCCACGGTCTGTAGCTCAGCTGGTGGGTAGAGGTTTTGCAGAGAACAGGACACTGGCAAATCTGGAGTACGTCCTAGTTGCAAGTGTAAAAATGATACCCGGGCGTGGAGAAATCTGTCAGACATCAACTCCCATCTGTGAAGATTAGTGCACCCGTGAGGAGCAGGCTGGCCTCGAGCACCCTCAATGCAACTGCTGGGGGCAATGTGGCATTCTCCCTGTGGTTGTCCAGGGACACACAGACATCAGGGGCCCAGGCTGAGGGTGTCCCCCAGGACAAAAGGCCATATAAAACCCGGGGATAGCAACTATTAACACAGCTGCCCATAAACCCACAACTAGACTTTCCCCAGACTCTGAAGCTACAGCCAACCTCAAAGGAAGCTCAATGGAATCTGAGGATCCTCCGAGAAGTTGGTTAAAAATGCAGTAGCCGGGGCCCATGCTCGAGAATCTGCTTCCAAAGGTGGAGAGAGTCACACACTTACAGAACGCCAAGGTGCACACAGGTAGCCCAGTACTCAGGAGACGGAGGCAGGCAGATGGGGAGTTGGAAGGCAGCCTGGAGTCGCAGTAAGAACTTGTCAGTTTCTGACTGTAGCCACCATCCCAGAAAGTTCTGACTTAGGAGTCCACAGACCATTGTTGGAGGAATTCAGAATCTGCCATCTTCCTACTCTCTTAGCCCCTGTCTCTTTGCTCGCCTAGGGTGACGCTGTATGCTGAGTTTCTTCCCATGAAAGCCAGAGCCAAGTGCATTTTGCTGATAGAGGTAAGGAGAGGGTGATGGCCTCTAGGGAATACTAACTGACTGGCAATCTGTTCTGGAATTTATGGAGCCACAAGACTGCAAAGGGGAGTTTAAGAAAAACATAACAAGCCAGGCGGTAGTGGCACACACCCTTAATCCCAGCACTGGGGAAGCAGAGGCAGGTAAATCTCTGTGAGTTTGAGGCCAGCCGGGTCTGCAGAGTGAGTTCCAGGACAGCCAGGACTGCTACATAGAGAAACCCTGTCTCAATAAATAAATAAATAAATAAATAAATAAATAAATAAATAAATAACAGACACACTAGCAATAGACAAATATGTTCCCGGGTATAGAGTATAAATATTTTTCCTCCTTCCCTTTTAATTGGAGGTTGATCTAGGTCAGTGGTTTCCAACCTTCCTAAAGCTGCGGCCCTTTAATTCAGTTCCTCATGTTGTGGAGACCCCAACCATGAAATTATTTTCATTGCTACTGTAATTTTGCTACTGTTACGAATTGTAACACAATTATCTGGTATGTGACCCCGGTGAAAGGGTCATTTAACCCCCAAAGCGGTCACCTCCCAAAGGCTGAGCACTGCTGACATAGGACCTGTTAGGCAAGTGCTCCACTTTTGAGCTACGTCCCCCAACTCTCTTTGTCCTTTTTATTTATTTTGAGACAAGAGTCTTGCTAAATTGCTCAGGCTGGCCTTGAACTCACTCTACAGCTGTCAGACCCTGCCTTGCAGGGATAGTGGAAAGACTTCTGATTTTGCTTGCTATGTACCAGCGCTTTCAGGGCTGACTCCCCAGTCACGTGATCACACCAAGCATCGCTCTCACTGTGCCCACTGAGTTACACCTCCCAATCCTGCCTCTGGTCCATCAGACTGGCCAACTCTCAGCTGCTGGACACAGACGGGGTAATCAGTTGTGTGAATACTGAACTGTTGATGTACTTGTTTTGAGACAGACTTTCACTGTGTAGCCTGGAACCCTATGTGTTCTCAGACTGGCCTTGGATTTGGGGCAATCCTCCTGCCTCTGCCTCCCTCATGTTAATGCTACAGACATTTACCACCATCCCCGCCAGTTGTTTCAATGACAGAATTGCCTGGCAGGCCGGCTGATCTTGAAATCTGGCTAACTAACCCCGGTCATACTCAGTTCTCTTTCGGGCTTCCCAAGATCCACAACTAAAGCTGAGAATGGGGGCTCATGCCTGTGATCTCCAAATTCAGTAAGCAGAGGCAGGAGGATTGCTGCAAGTTCCAGGCCACTCAGGACCACATAGCAAGACCCTGTCTCAAAAAAAATGTTTTGAGTTCGTAGCATGAGCATCCTGACTGGTCCACATCCTTAACATACCTGTCGTGAGACATTTTAATGGTTCCCTCACGATGCTTAGCCACAGAAATGGATTGTGGCTCCTTTAAGAAAAGGGGGATTTAGGAAGGCTCTAGGGACTTAGTGGTGCTTGCAGCTGGACAGCCCAACCAGGAACAAGAACAGATCAGTCTGAAGAGGACTTAGAAAGTCCCTGCTGAGCCTAGTGGATCAAGCTTATCATGCCAGTTACTGGGGAGACTGAGGCAAGCATCATAACTTCAAGGTCTGCCTAGACAATTTATTAAGACCACGCCCCCAAAGGAGAAGTGGGAAGAGGGCTGGGGCTGTAGCTCAGGTGGTAGAGCGCTCGCTGGCCTCAGGCTTTGATCTCTAGTACTTAAGATAATAACCATAATAACAGGGCCTGTGAAATGTCACCTGTTACCAAGCCTGAGGACGTGAGTTCAAAACCCAGGACCCAAGTTACATAAGGAGAGAACTGATTTCCAAAAACCATTCATCACTCCCTTAGCAAATAACTGTGACTTAAAAATAATAACAGCAGTAAAGTCTCCCTTGAAAGACCAAGAGGGAGCAGTGAGCCGCCATAACAGTTGGATGAGGGATCCTCTGGAGAGACCTTCAGCTGAGCCAGCCTGTGACCATCCTACAGGGGAGGCACCTGGACAGTAAGCCAACCTTGGTCTCCACCCTGCTCTTCTCTCATTCCCTGGGCTCCCTATTAGCGGCAAACAGTGGGAAGCCACAGGTAGGGAGCTGAGCAACTTGGGGAGAAGGGAGAGAGGATTCCCAAGAAGGATGCTGGAGCCTGTGGACCAAGGGAAGCAGATGCCAGTGGACAGAGCCAGAGTGACAATCTGTATAACCACACACAGAGAGACGGAAGCCTCAAGTTTCCATGAGGAAGATGTGGTATATTCACACACAATGGAATAGCATCAAGCCTTGAAAAGGGAGGAAATTGTGGCATATGCTACAACATTGGTGAGCCAAGGATGAATGTTACGTGATTCTGCCACATGGGTGGCTGGAGTAGTCAAGATCATGAGGACAGGACCTACATCCTTGAAATTGCCTATAATCCCGACACCCGGGAGGTTAAGGAAAGATCTTGAGTTTAAAGCCAGGGTGGACTACGTAGAGAGTCTGAGGCACAGCCTGGGTTACATAGCCAGATCCTGCTCAAACAGATTTTTTAAAAAACGACAATGTAAAAAACAGAAACAGATGCCCAGGGACTGGTGGAGGGGCAGAGTGGAGGGAGCAGGGGCGAGTACCACGGAGACAGTTTCTTTCAGAGAGTGAGCTCCAGAGGTAGATGGCCCTGATGGCCACAGAACAGGCCAGACATGTTCCCTATCAGTGCGCTGCGCACTGGCTAGGAAAACCTTGGAAATAGGACGGAACTACAGTCCCTTGATGCCCAGCGTCATACCTGTGTCACAGAACACGGGTCCTTTCCGCGTCCTCCACTGTGCTGTGCAGTCCGGCCAGCACCACTCAAGTGTTACGCGGTGGGTGGGACCACAGCAGGATGTGCCACATTGAGAGAAAAGGGGGGCACTCTGATTTTCCACTCTTATTCACTGTACCCCACCACTGACTCTTACTTTCCCATGCCAGGTCTTCTGGGCCATCGGGACGGTGTTCGAAGTCCTCCTGGCGGTGTTCGTGATGCCCAGCCTGGGCTGGCGCTGGCTGCTAATGCTCTCGGCCGCCCCGCTGCTCCTCTTCGCTGTTCTGTGCTTCGTACGTATGTTTACAGCCATCTCCTTGCCGGTCTGGGGAACCTTAGAGTGAAGTGAGTGGAAGACACCAAAGCTCTGTCTCTCAAGATTATTATTTGTGGGCTTGGCGTGGTGGTGGTGCCTTTGCTACCAGGGAAGCAGAGGCAGACAGATCTTTGTCAGTGTATGAGGCCAGTCTCGTCTATGGAGCAAGTTCCAAGACAGCCAGGGCTTTTACACAGAGAAACCCTGTATCAAAAAACCAATGAGTATGGGGGGGGGTGGCCTGGGGTGGATTCCCTGCATGCGAACTCTTTTGAGATGTTCTCTGTAAGACTAAGGCTTAAAGTGACTCCATTGGACCCACTGGAACTCTGAACTTCAAGTGACAGAAACAAAATTCATACTGGCTTGAACAAAACATAGGAACAGACATATGATAGAGGATTATATGTCTGGCTTTCAGACATGGCTGTATCCAGGAGCTCACATGGTCTCCTCATCTTACATCTCACATCTTGTGTATAGTGTGTAGAGCATGTGCACACACTCTTCCATACACACACACACGCAGGGAGAGAGGCTGTGAGGGAACCTGTGTGCTAGGCTACTCACACACATTTACTTTTCTTTCTCCCCATAACCACATGGGGAAGGGCTGTGATGAAGCCCTTGTTACTTAGAATGACATTTGTTCTTGTGACCAAGCCACCAACTCAGTAGCTCAATGCAGAAGGAGGTTGCTTCTTTGCAACTGAACAGTCTAGAAAGAGCATTCTGGTTCCCATGGGGGATCTCAGCCCAAGTTTTGATATTTTTTGTGTAGTTTTGTTTTTTGCAACCTGTAGTTCAGTCATCCCCTAGGATACTTGGAGTCAGGGGTGGTGGGGGGAGCAAAGTGGAGGCTCACACCCTTGCTCCTTTAATGTCTGCTAACCTTGATGATTGTTAGTCTTGTGGGCTCACCTAGTTGCAAGGGAAGCTGGGAAATGTAGTCTGTGGCTAGGCAGCCACATCTATGGAGAATTCCACACAATGACATGCATTTTGGTGGACCTCAAACTCTGCTATGTCCTCATTTACTAATAAGAAAACTGACTTCCAGAGGCCGGCTGATTTTCCAAATATCAGACCTTATTTGAACTGGCTGGGTCCCAGCCCCACAATTTCTACAACATCAGTGGTTGTACAAACCACTGTCTCCCTTCACTGGAGTGCACTTGCCTCTGCACTTGGGGCTGGGGCTCCATCGGGCTTAAAACTCCCGACTTCTCTCTCAGACTTAGTTTACAAGATGATGCTAACTAAGCCCACGAAGGCAGAGTCTCTCAAGAGTTGAGGGGAGGTTTTTGATGGTGTCATTATTTACCACCCTCCCCCCCAACTCTAAAAGCAACCAGGACAGTGATGACAGTTACACGAACCCACGCCAACCCTTCGCCAAGCTCTCTGCTTCTGTTATCCCATTTACCCCTCTGAACACCTGAAGGTGTGAAGGAAGAAACAGGCACAGGAAGTGACCTCACGGCACAGGACCCTATAGCCATGTAGCACACAGAGGAGCCAGCATTCAAAGCCAGGATTCTAACTCCAGAGACCCAACTCTCAAAGACTCCCACACAGATGAGGGAGGGCGGCCTGCAGAGAGTGCTGCTCCCCACTAACCGGCCACATCTGGATCTCCTGTCCCCTCAGTGGCTGCCGGAGAGTGCTAGGTATGACGTGCTGTCTGGGAACCAGGAGAAGGCAATTGCCACCTTAAAGCGGATAGCAACAGAAAATGGAGCCCCCATGCCTCTGGGAAAGCTCATCATTTCCAGACAGGTCAGAGTCTGGGGAGAGAGAGAGAGAGAGAGAGAGAGAGAGAGAGAGAGAGAGAGAGAGAGAGAGAGAGAGAGAGAAGCAAGGAAGTGATTGCATGAGGCTGGCATGCCATGTATGGGCACATGTATGTGTGTGTGTGCATGCAAGGAATCGATTGCATGAGGCTGGCATACAAGTGCGGGCACATGTGTGGGTGAGTGCAGATCCTGGCATGGCCTGCACTTGTGTTTGTGCGTGTCTGTGTACATGAACTGGAAATCTAGTGTGGAACTGGTAAAGGGAGTTTGGCAATTCCAACTGGCAGCTTGACTGCCAAATTCTGAACTCCTGCTGGAGAACGTAGGCAGCGATTAGGGAGCTGTCCCGCCAGCCAGTGCGTTTATAACTGCTTCTGCTTCTGTTTTGCTCCCAGCTCAATTTTTAAAAAGAGCAATTGTTAAGCAAAGATTTGAAAAAAAATTCTTTAAATTTTTGTGGAATTGACAAATAGATCATTTAGGTAGTCAGTCTTTGGGCAAAGTAGCCTATGTTGAGTTGGCTCTCAGCAGATGCACTGTGGTGCCCCTGACCAGGAACTGGCTGTATATGTGTGAAATGATTTCATGCCCCTTGCACGGAAACAAACCCAGGGGCCCAACAGTGCCCACCTTGGGGGTCTGCCTCCTGCTCCATGTTGGAAGTACAGAATGGTTCTGGCCTGTGGTAATCAAGGCTCTGGCCTGTTAGGTTCTCAGCAGGAAGGAATGGGATGAGTCTTGACTTGCCAAGCTTGTGTCCTCTATCCCTGGCTATGCCATTAGCAGTGTGTGTGTGTGTGTGTGTGTGTGTGTGTGTGTGTGTGTGTGTGTGCGTGTGTGTGTACATGTGTGTGCGTGCGTGTGTGTGTGTGTATCTGTGTGTCTGTATATATCTATATGTGTCTGTGTCTATGTGTCTGTGTATCTGTGTGTTTCTGTGTGTCTCTGTGTGTGTGTATGTATCTGTGTGTGTGTGTGAGAGAGAGAGAGAGAGAGAGAGAGAGAGAGAGAGAGAAAGAATCAGGCCTCCAGCCAAAGCCCCTGTGCCCTGGGAGCTAGCCAATAATCCACATGTCCTTGTCTTGAAACAGGAAGACAGAGGCAAAATGAGGGATCTTTTTACACCCCACTTTCGCTGGACAACTCTCCTGCTGTGGTTTATATGGTAAGAGCTGCTGACTGCCCACTCACAGAACACTGCTTGGGACTTGAGATTTACTTATTTGTTTTGAATGTGTTTGTATCTATGAATGTTTGCACATACGTATATGCATATGTATGTATGGGTCACCCATAGGTGACATCAGGTGTCTGCCCCAGTCTTTCTCAACATTATAAATCAAGGCAGGGTCTCTCACTTGGTGCTAGTCGGCTTGCTATCGAGATCTGGTCTCTGCCTCTGGAATTCTGGGATTACAGGCTGGCCACCATGTGTGCTGCCAGCACCACACTCCTGACCCCATCTGCATTAAGGTGGGCTGTTCACTTCTTCACACTTTGAACTGGACGTGGAGCTACTCAGATAAGTAGCTTTGAAGGGAGGCATTTCTATTTCTGCTCTTTGAGAAAATGCTTGAGTTGCAAGTCATCCCTAATGATGCTCTCAAAGGTAGATACAGTAAAGTAGCCGTGTGGTTGGTGTGCCCAGGCACTGATCCTGTGTACTAGAGAGAGGGTGTGCCCAGGCACTGTTCCTATGTACCAGAGACAGGGTGTCTGGTGTGCCCAGGTACTGAGCCTGTGTACCAGAGACAGGGTGGCTGGTGTGCCCAGGCACTGAGCCTGTGTACCAGAGACAGGGTGGCTGGTGTGCCCAGGCACTGAGCCTGTGTACCAGAGACCGGGCGGCTGTGGGAAGGGCAGATGCTCAGGAGCCAGGAGTACATGGTGAGGCTGATGCAACCAAAGGAACGGAAAGAAAACTTCCAAGGGAACTTTCTACAGGAAGCTACTGTTTACGCCGACCAGGGCCTCTTCTCTGCACCTGCTGCCTCAGCTACCACCATGGTACACAGTTCATCCTTTGAAAACTAAGATGTGGTGAACACAGCCATTCATGGGACCCCTCCGTTCCTGCCTGGTTTAATTTTGCTTGAGTTGCAGTCATGGGAGGAGACTGGCAGGGAGGCAAGTGCAGAGAGTGATTATTTCGTCTTTGTAGCAAGTGCAATTGCAGCCATTCTTCTCTTTCCCAGATCTCGCCCGCAGCAGCGCCAGCACAAGGCTCTGTGTGGCTGCAGGATTTGAGTTCTATTTTCAACCTGGTTCCTGTTCACCTTTGAACAGAAGCATTGATTATGAGAGAGGTGTTCCCAGCATGGTCGATTACAGGGAAGAGGGAAGAAAGGCTTGGTAGCACGGAGCCAGGCTTGAGTTCTGCCTCCGCGTTCCTAAGAGCTGAATCAGTTCACCAAGCACTTATTAAATGCCCGCTGTGTGCCCAGTTCAAAGTGGTGCCCGTAGGATTTTAGAAAGGGGAGTTGGACAGGATCAAAATACCAACTTTTAAGAATCTATAATCTAGAAGAAAAAATTAAATAATTTTTAAAGAATCTGTAATTCACTTGGATTGATTTTGAATCTCAAAAGCAATTTGTGAGAGGCTAATTTTAATCCTGTCAATGTCAAGCCCAGTTTGTACCTCCAAGAGAACAGTTTATTTTGAAGCAATTATGATGTGGCCCCATGTCTTTAAATAAAGAACTGCCATCACTGAGAGAGGCAAGGCGCAAAGCAGGGCATTTGCCCAGGACTCTCTCTACTTGCCAGTCTTGGTTACTGCAACCTGATGACACTTTTGGTTTTTCTTTTCCTTTTTCCTTCAGCATTTATTTATTTATGTATTTGGCGGAAGCGAGTGATCTGCCAAGTTAACACGTTCTGACGGTTTTACTTGCTAGGTGAAGGCTGCTGGCTGGGTCAGGTGAAGATCACCAATACGTGGCTAGAAAGACAGCCCAAGGGAATTCTGGGAGCATGCAATGCTCAACGTCCATAACCATTCTTCACCATGGCATTTTGTTTGTTCCTGGCAACTTCATTTTCTATTTCCCCATGTTGACCCAGCGTCACGTGTTGTATAAGTGGAGGCCGAGAGTTGATTTACATCCCAGGGCACTAGGAGACTCATGCCTAAGATTTGACAAATGAGACTGAGCAGACAAGAGGGTGATTGTCAGGTGACGGGGCAGCAGTTACGAGGGAAGAAGCCTTTGACAGCACTAGCCATCACGAACCACGTGAGAACCCCTCTCCCCATCTTCTATGTCTGACACATGTTACATAACACAGGAATGTTATGCTTGAAGTTACAGTGGTCAAGTACACTTACACAAGTAAGAGATGCAGAAGATGAAGGAAGTGGCATTTTAACCAATCAAAACAGCTCTGCTTTAGTCAGACTGACTGAACTGTAGAAGTTGCTGCTTCCAACCCCAACCATAACTGTTCTGAAGGTTCGTAGATTAGGAAGGTTCAGAACCACTGGACTAGAGTCTGGGCAAACAGGAAGAAGACCCTATAGTTAGCCAGGCAGGAGCAATAAGCCTGAAAGTGAAGAGAGGGCCACTGCAGAAAGACTTGGTTGCTGAAGGCAAAAGTGAACCCCTGATTTTTGTCTTGGGAAGTGGGGAGAGGACTGTTTTATCAGCAGCTCTACCCGAGGTAGGAAGAACAAGCACAAAGCTGTCTTTCTGTTCTGGGTAGAAAGGAAAAGACAGTTTAGTATTCTTGAATATTTAGACCCTGTAGCACAGGAGAAAGATTAGTGTTAAGCATCACACCTCTGCTAACTGCTAAATTTAAAAGAAACTGAATTGTTTTTTGGAGATTTACAATGTAATAAGTTACTCTTTTCACATTTACTTGTCTTTATGTGACTGTGTGTACTCGTAGCACAAACCCAGATGTTAGAGTCCATGTGGGTCGTGGATCACTAGGGACTCACATCTTCTGAGTGATGACTGTCCCTTCTCAAATCCAAGACTGCACGAAGTTCCAACCAAGACCCCCTGAAATACCAGTGCATTTAATGATATAGCATATACGGGAAAATCCTATTGCAATGCCTTGCATGTAAAAGGTACTTAATAAATGCAAGTTACTTAATCAAAAAAAAAAAAAAAGAAGTTTCTGCTTGCAGGCATCGCTGTAACGTGGGAGGTTCACCTTCAGCCTCTGGTTGTGTCTTAGTTCCGTCATGGCTGTTTTTTACAAATAGTCTAGTTCTGTACACTCTAAATGCAAATTCCAGATCTATGCAGGAGGGAAGAAGTGTCATTGCAGTGTGAAATTCTAAAAATCATGTTTAGCCCCTCCGTGTTAGCCCAGAAGCCCCTTCGATGCCAGCGGGAATGCCATGTTGTCCATCTTGGGATGTCACACAGTCCATCTTGGTCCTTCCAAGAACACAGAATCATATCCCTCTATCCCATCACAATGCTTCCTGCCAGCCATCTCCCTGCTCAGGATCCCCAAAAGGCTCCAAGAGCCTGCCAAGACTGGTGAGGGAGTAGCCTTCCGGAGCTGGAAGGAGCCTTGTGCCTCTCTGATGTCTCCATCCTGGCTTTTCCCCCCACAGGTTTTCCAATGCCTTTTCTTATTACGGCTTGGTTCTGCTCACCACGGAACTCTTCCAGGCAGGAGATGTCTGCAGCAGTGAGTATCCCTTTTTTTACTGTCCCCCACCCCACATGAACACAGCCACATTTTCTCCCCTGCAAGGTGTTGCCATCATCACTGTGGCATGAATTCCAAGTTCCCAAGACTCTGGGCAACTTTGTGATGATGGAGATGACACGTGCCCAGTCCCAGCCTAAGTCAGGGCTCGAGCTCTGAAGCTGGCAGCATTTGCTGATAAGCTGAGGTGTCACTGGTCAGTCTCACTTGAGGAAAGAGCAATCTGTCTGCACTGAGGGGGTGTCACGGAAATGTTCATCTCTGCAAGAGACCTGAGGAGAATGCATTCTAAGAGATAAGGGGGTGCGCCCACTTAGCACGTGTGGCGTCCTGGGTTTATTCCCCACCACCAAAATGACTAAATAAATGAACATAAAGATCCATTTTTTTTTCAAGACAGGGTTTCTCTGTGTATTTCTGGCTGTCCTGGAACTCATTCCTTAGAGCAGGCTGGCTTCAGACTCACAGAGATCTGCCTGCCTCTGCCTCCCTGAGTACTGGGATTAAAGACGTGCACCACCACCACCAGGCTTTTTGTTTTGGTTTTTTAAGAAAGAAAGAAAAAGAGGGGGAAGAGCTGTTGTGAAATTGGAGAAAACCGCATTCTACAAAACCGAATGCATTGTGTTTCCATGAGTCTCCCTGGGTTAGATTCTGTCCCTTAGACTAGGGCTCCATTTGGTACAGGGAGACGGAGCTCTCAGAGGAGCAACAGTTGCCCCATAAGTGTGACAAGGAAAGGGCTGGATAGCTCAACGGTAGGTTGGGGTGTCCTGGAACCCTCCCAGAGCTGCAGCTTCTGTCACTAGGGGCCTTTTAAAAACAAGGACCGCACAGAGCCAAAATAGTCTTTCCAAATTATCCCCACCCACGAAGGGCCCAAAACCCAATTTGCAGTTCTATGTACGTGATCCTGGGCAGTGGCCAATGTACCGTTCTCCCATGAGAACAAGGACAGAGCTCCATCTCTGCCCTACAAGGGGCATTCCCACCGTGGTTGGAACCCAGGGCTTCCTGAATCCTAGGCAAGCATCCACCAGCAGTTTCCCCACCCCGGGAACTTTGACGCAATGCCAGCGCCATTTAAACCCTCTCCAGACCAGTTTAATCAGCCTGGGTGAGGATCACTAATTAGTCAGGTTTAAAAGCTTCCCAGGGAACTGTATTTTGAAGCAGGAATCACCAGACAAATTAAAGAAAGAGAAATATGCGCGTGCAGGTGCACAGCCTTTTGGTTGGTTCTATCTGAAGGCATTGCTGGGATTCTGACATTGGAAAAAGAACCAAGTTTCTTCAGGGTTTGCTTGTAAAACCTAAGGGGCCATGGGTGACAGTTCCATAGGCTGGGTGCTGGGAGGGGACCCCAGTGGTAAAGTATGCCCTCAGCAAGCCCTGAGGTGCTGGGTTAGTATGCCCAGCACAATTTGTTTATCTTTTCATTCATTACAGGTCTTAGATGGTAGAGCCTCGTGCTAACTGGGGGTGTTATTGAGAAACTAAGCTATTTAGAAGCACCCCAACTGCAGATCTGATTGTGGGGGGTTGATACTGAGCAAAGGGGACAGTCCTCAGACAGTGGACATTGAGCACTGAGAGAAGATAGAGATCGGGGGCCTTTTCTGTCAAGCGCCACATGGAAGATGTTTCCAGCTTCCAGAGCTACACAATTCTGCCATACCTAGAAACCCAGCACAAGAAGTACATGCATATGCGTGTGTGTGCGTGTCTTCATGCATGTGTGTGTTTGCATGTGTGCATGCGTGTGCGTGCATGTGTGCATGCGTGTGCATGCATGTGTGTGTGTATAAATATTCTTTTGCTGAGGTAAACCAGCAAAGATGCAGTTGGAACGACAGTAGGAGACACAGTGGCTAGGTCTTTGGAGAGTAGCAGTCTGGGAGTCCTTTTCAGGGGCCAGGTGACGTCTGAATCTTGTCCATGCAGCACGGTATTTCATGATGATTTGGTGTGATATGAGAGCTGGGGTGTGTTAAGGATCCTGGTACGTACCCCAAGGTAGTGTGAGGTTCTCAAGAGAGAGAGTGCTATATTCACAAGGGGGGATTTTAGATAGCTCATTTTATGGGCCAACTTTTTGGGGGTGGGGAGTTATTCAGCAGTTAAGGTGTAAGAGGAGAAAGGATGAGAATCACAAGACCGGCCAGGACTTCCCTGAAGAAACTGTAATCCCTGTGGGGTTTTCCTGAAGAGGCCTTAATCCCGGTGGGTTTTCTCACACATCATGGTGTGGTGGAAACAGGCAATCTGGGGAGGCTAAGAACATGGAGGGGGTCACTATCACGTGGCAGAAATCAGCAGTCGCCTTAGAGGGTGCTGCCTGCTTGAGCAGGGTCTGAGGTAACGCAGCCGCTCCGGGATCGCATTAATGGCTAAGCAGTCTACTTCTCCCCCGTGCTTCTACAACCTACCCCAAAATAGGAGAAAATGCATGAAAATTCACCAGTGTGCAGGAGTAGGGTGCACAGGGGTTCACTCCTGAGCCTGTCTCCCAGCTCTTTCTGTGCTGTCTCAGATCCAAACCTCTGCAAACCCCAACCCCTGGAGACTGGAAAAGTTTTTGTTATTGTTTCATAAAGACAGTGTTTCTCTGTGTAGCCCTGACTGTCCCAGAACTCGTTCTGTAGACCAGGCTAGCCTAGAACTCATAGAGATCCCCCTGCCTCTGCTCCCAAGTGCTGGGATTAAAGGTGTGCACCACCACCATCTGGCAAGACTATAAACTTTTGCAGTCAGTTACCCCGTCCAATAGTCACAGGCAAGAAGGAATGTACCAAGTTTTTTCTTTTGGACTACTAACCAGCTCCCAAATCATGACATGGAGCTTACTATTAACTATGAATGCTGGGCCTTAGCTTATGCTTATTTCTGGCTAGCTTTTCCTTTTCTTTAGCTTAAATTGACCTGTTTCTCTTCATCCACCCTTTGACTCGGGGCTTTTTACCTTTCTTTCTGCATGTCCTACTGCATATCTGCTGGCTGGCCCTAGCTGTCTCCCCCATTTCTCCCTCATTCTCTCTTCTCTCTCTCTTGTTCTTCTCTGGCCTTAGATTTCTCCTCCTACTTAAATCTGGTTCTGCCTAGCTGTTGGCTGTTCAGCTTTTTATTAGACCAGTCAGGTGCCTTAGGCAGGCAAGGAGAAACAAATGCAATGCATCTTTACATGATTAAACAAATGCAGCATAAACAAAGGTAACAACCTTTACACAGCATAAACAAATGCAACACGTCTTTACACAGTTAAAGTCATACCGGGGCTAGGGTACAGGAAGCTGTGGGACAAGATTGTGCGACTATCCCTGCTTCTCTCTCCCCACCCTAGTCTCCAGCCGGAAGAAGGCAGTGGAAGCCAAGTGCAGCTTGGCCTGCGAGTACCTGAGCAAGGAGGATTACATGGACCTACTGTGGACCACCCTGTCTGAGTTCCCAGGTGAGGTGGGGCAGGAAAGCCTACCATCTGTTTAGGGTTTAAAAAGAAAAGAAAAACAGGCCTTGAGTGTTTTCCCAGGCCTTTGCTATATATTATAAACACACCTAAGAGTCTGGCCCTACCTGAAAGCTAGCAAGTCAGGTTGCCTAGCACCAAGCATTCTGTTAAAAGGTCAAGGCTCCTGGGCTATTGGAGCAAGCAGTCACACCCTGTCACAAGAACCCTACTGCAATTCTGCACTGCAGCAAGGGTCAAATATTGATGGCAGGGCCCGCTGCCCCAGTTTGCACCCATGGTAAGGAAGGCCCCCGCGGAAGAGCTGCAGCGCAGGTGTATGGGAATCTCTTCCCCGTTATGATAATGAAATACCTAAGGTTATGTCCTTTATAAAGAAGTGTAGTTAGACTGGACAGTGGTGGCGTACACCTTTAATTTCAGCACTCAGGAGAATCTCTGTGAGTTCAAGGCCAGCACGATCTATAGAGCTAGTTCCAGGACAGGCTCCAAAGCTACAGAGAAACCCTGCCTCGAAAAACAAACAAAAAAAAAAAAAAAAAAAAAAAGGCGTATTTAGCGCACAGTTCTGAAGCTGACGGGCAGGGTGCCAGCATTGGCTCAGTTCTAACCAGAGCTTCCCAGGGGATGGTAACCCTGTAGTGAGAGCCCATGAGAGGAGAGACAAGAAGCAGAGACAGGACCACACCCACCTTCCATTACCTCTGGACATAACTGCACTGAGGGCCAAGTTCCCAACACATGATTCCTCGGGGACACACTCAAACCATGTCCAAACCACAGCCAAGGAAGCTCAGGATGCCCGGGACTTTATAAGTGGCTTCCAGAAGCTTCTGCCATTGCTCCAGAGGGGACAAGTGTCCTTACCCTCTAAGGCTGTTGGCAGTATAAACGATCTTGTAATGACAGTCAGGGCTTGCACAGAGATGGGAGCCCTGGAGATTTCTCCCCCACCAGCGGATGCACTGGAAAAGACCTGGTAGTGGGGGCATCAAACTTCCAAACCTTAACACCGTGCAAAGGTGATCTGCCTCCTTCTTTCTGTCGTCCCTCCCTTCCTCCCTCCTTCCCTTTCTACCCCCATCTGAAAGCGACAATGTCAAACCCAGTGCTGAACCAAAGCTAAACAGCTATTTAAAGGGACTAAAGAGGCCCAAGATCATTCTGGCTCCGACAGCTTTCCATTTTCCGCGACCATTGCATTCTGCTCAGCAAAGACCAATCAGAGTCCTCTGTATACCATCTTTAACTGGTGCTTGCCCGGGTCAGCTCCACAAACAACACCTTGAGCCTGTACCCTTGTCCTGAGGCCTTTTAAGAAATTGGCTTAAGACACTGAATGTCCCATTGCTGGCAGAGTTCAGACCTTTGCCCCACCCTGACTCCTTTTTTTTTTTTAAAAGATTGATTGATTGATTATGTACACAGTGTTCTGCCTGTATTCCTGCAGGGCCAGAAGAGGGCACCAGATCTCATTATAGATGGCCGTGAGCTACCATGTGGTTGCTGGGAATTGAACTCAGGACATCTGGAACAGCAGCCAGGGCTCTTAACCACTAAGCCATCTCTCCAGTCCCCCCACCCAGACTCTATCATTCTCCTAAAACGTCTCCCCCCGGTTGCATTAGGAAACAAGAGTGCCAGCTTAGAAACTTTAGTTCAGTATTGATTGCCATCACCTCCCAGCTCTGAAATGTGGAATCTTCTTGTTTGGTATTGTTCCTAACACATATTGCCCTCCTAGAATAGATCCCGACACTCAATAAGCAATAATTAAATAAATATGAAAAGTGGGGCTTATGATAGCATTTATTTTATTTATTTATTTTTTACTTTTTTGAGACAGGTTCATAGTCCTGGCTAGCCGGGAACTCACTATGTAGACCAGGCTGGCCTCAAAGTCACAGGGATCATCCTGCCTCTGCCTCCTGAGTGCTCCGATTAAAGGCATCCACTGGCATTTGTTTTAGAAGATTCTTTTAATGATTAATAGATATGGAAGTACTTTCTCAAAATATGATTATATAGTAATAATAAATATTACCTAATATACTAATCTCAAGCACTATGCTGTACTGCCTCTATGGAGGATGGCACAACATTTTACTAGTCCCGTTTGTAGATAAAGAAACCGAGGCTCAGGGAAGATGGGCTCCTGGTTATATGGCAGGTTAGAATAAACAAGAGTCCTTTGAACCCAACTAGGTGTGCGTCCAAGCCTGGACGTGTGCTTGCTGCCTGATTACAGCGAATGCCATCATTCAGGCCCCTGCGATGCCTGTATCAGTTGCCTTTTTGCTTTTAGCAACACATTACCCTTTCCCTTAGAGATTTGAAATAGTACACACTTGTCTCCTGGTTGCTGTGACTTCCCAGGTCCCCTGCTTCACTGACTCTAACACAGATGCAGCAGGCATTGGTCTGGAGTCTACTGTATTGTCTAAACGCTTGGCTGGGGCAGAACTGGAGTTCATGGGTTCAGCTCGGCTGGTTTACGCCCAGGGGTGGAAGACGACATAGGGTGGGTGATTAGGGACCACTTAAGAAACTGCCTACCATGTCCCTGCTCTCCCCATAGGCGTCCTTGTGACTTTGTGGGTCATTGACCGCCTGGGCCGCAAGAAGACCATGGCCTTGTGTTTCCTTGTCTTCTCCCTTTGCAGCCTCCTACTGTTCGTCTGCATTGGAAGGTGGGTATCAGGGGAACCCCAGCCCCTCACCAGGACTCAGGCTCATGGTGCTTCATGACGGGCAGATGGGTGGGCTCACGGTCAAAGCCTCTGTGGTGCAGCAGGGGACCATGTGTCTCGGTTTTATTTCTCTGAACTTCAAGTTTAGAGTTCCCATGTGTCTTGGTCAGTGTTCTATTGCTGTGAAGTGACATCAGGACCACAGCAACTCTTATAAATGAAAACATTTCAGTGGGGCTGGCTGGCAGTTTAGTTCTGAGGTTTAGTTCATTATCATCATGGCAAGAAACATGATGGCATGCAGACAGACATGGTGTTGGAGAAGCAACTGAGAGTTTTGTATTGGCTCTGAAGACAGCAGGAAGAGAAAGAGATGCTGGGCCTGACTTGGGCTTTGAAAACTCACAGCCCACCCTTGGACACACTTCTTCCAACACAGCCACACCTCCTAATTTTTCTCAAGTAGCGCCACACCCTGGGGACTACGCATCCAAATCTATGAGCCTATGGGGGCTGTTTCTCATTCAAACTCCCTCACCATGACGATCCCAAACATGAGTACAGTGTGGCCACAGAAGCTGTGCACTCTTTAAAGTGATGGGTTTGATGGAAATAGACCTTGTTTCAAACACGCCCTACTAAAGAGACATTCTCTAGTTTTCCAACTCCTAAGAGCCCCAGAATATAGACGTGCCACAGACCAATCCCGACAAGGAACCAGTGGCCCGCAGGATGGGGGAGATGTGGGGCTTAGACTCTGATGGGTTGGTAGTCTGGATCATCAAGGAGAACCACAAAGCCAACAGTTAGGGAGCAGAAATGCCCTAAGAATGCCAGATACAGTCCTGCTAGAACCCAAGGCCCCACGAATGCTAGGCAAGTGCTCTGTCACTGAGCCTTAGTCCTGGATTTCAGCCACTCAGACCATTTTCCCACCCTCGTGCCCAGCTGTAGCCCACAGGCGTCCCATCCGCCAGCTGGGTTGCTGGATGGAGAGCAGGGTACTGTAAGAGCGAGCTTTAGCGTAGCACGCAGAGGTGCTGGGTGGGGTACCTTTGCCAATTCAGTGCTGATTCTTCCTGAGAAGGTGGATCGTGCGGTGAGAACGAGACGGGCAAAACCCTCACCTGCTGTCTTCTCCTCCCCAGAAATGTGCTCACCCTCTTACTCTTCATTGCAAGAGCATTTATTTCCGGAGGCTTCCAAGCAGCCTACGTTTACACGCCTGAGGTAGGAGAGGTGCCTGAGAGCGGGGTGGGCACCTGGGGGTGGTGTTGACCGGAATATCAGTCATCCTTAGGTCTGCCTCATCACTTCCACTTACTTCACAATCATTCTTTTTTTCTGCTCGTCCAATTTTTAAGCTCAGTGTAAGAACTCCAGAGGTTTCCTAAGTGTGTAGAGCCAAAGGGAATGGGACAGGGCCCACATCCCCCCTTCCTGGAGACAACCTTCTGCAGTGTTTGTGAGCTGGGCATGCAGCTCAGTACTGAAGTGTTTGCCTTTCTTATTCAAGGCCCTGGATTTGAGCCCCAGTACCAAAAAAAGAAAAAAAGAAAAGAAAAGAAAAGAAAAGAAAAAAGAGTTTTAGGAAAACTCTTCAAGTTCTCTAAGCCTAGCTAAACTTCAGTCAGTGACTATTGGTGACCGTGAATAATTAATTGAATAGGTGATGGCCTTGACCTATCCAAGTGATAGGTTTCTGTATTGAAAACTCAGCCTGGGAGATGGAGAGATGGCTCAGTGGTTAAGAGCACATACTGGTCTTCCAGAGGACGTGGGTCTGGTTCCCAGCATCCACATTGGGCAGCTCAACTCCAGCTGCAGGAGTTCTGATGGCCTTTTCTGGCCTCTAGTGGTACACACACACACACACACACACACACACACACACACACAGCTTGCATCCATCCAAACACACACATAGACAACAAAATAAGAAACAAACAAAATTAGTATAGAAAACCAGACAGAATGACACCATTCAAGACGGAACACACAGAAGTGGCTGAGGGGCCATCCACTAGCTTGGGAGGAGCAGAAGGCGCATATGGTGTAGGTCTGCACCTACAAGACAGCGGCCATTGCCGAGTCCAGCAGAGAAAAACAGAACTGTAATATTAATCCCTTTATTCATTTTATATTGAGTACAGCCATTGCTAGACCCCTATATATAATCAGTAATTATGTGTGTGCATTGTGTATTATATATGGTCCAGTGCTTTCTACTGAACTGCACGGTCTTTTCTACTGTTCTGGGATAGAATCCAGGGCCTCACCGTGCCAGGCAAGCACTCTGTACACATCCCACCGCTCAACATTGCTAACTAAAAAACCCAACTGCCGAATACCTGCCGGTAGTGAAAAGCAACGAGGGAAGTGGGATCCTGCCCACAGCCACCCTTGTGCTCTTGGCCTTGGGTGAAGCTCCTGCCTCCTTTGCCCATTCCCATCCTGCCTGCGGGTGCTAGTCCCACCTGTCCTGAGTGGGAGGGGTAAGGGATTTCAGCATCCCTCCTGATGTTTGCTGACAGACACGCTGACATTCCAGGTGTACCCCACGGCGACGAGGGCACTGGGCCTGGGCACCTGCAGCGGCATGGCGAGAGTGGGTGCCCTCATTACTCCGTTCATTGCTCAGGCAAGTGTTGCCCCAGATACAGATCCAGGGGGTGGCCGGCTGTGCCCTATGGAGTGGACAACGTTTCCCAGCAACCCACCCCAGAGGGGAAGATCCTCAGAAGGATAAAGGACCCAAGGCCATTAGACAGGGACTCAGACAAGCCTGGGATAGAATTCAGCTTTTCCCAGTGCAGAAGTCCCTGTGGGTACCAGAAGATTTGGCCCAGAATAATTTGGATACACTGGGTGTGGTCCCAGCTACTTTGGGGAGGCTGAGGTGGGAGCTTGAGAGCAGAATTCGGGGCCAAAGGAACAGTGGGATATTGACCCAAGGAACAAACAACAGACACTATTTGCTCCAGATGTCTGTCTTCCTTTCTGAACTGGCTGATTTGGGCGAGTTACCAAACTTGGCAACTCAGGGTGCCACTGAACATGGATGTCCATGTCTGAACATCCATTTTAAGGAGTAGGTCACATCATTAAATTTAATTACTTTAAAGATAAATCGGGCCAGTGAGATGGCTCAGCAGTAGAGATGCTTATCACCAAGTCTGATGGCTTGAGTTTAGCACCTGGGACCTACAAGGCAAAAGGCGAGTCGGCGTGTATAGGTTGTCCTCTGAGCTCATATTTGTGCTGTATGCATGTGTGCACGTGCACGCACATACACACACACAAATATTAGGGCAACAATGTAAGGTTTGGGGAAAAGGAGAAGGGAATGGGGTAGGCTCAAAGGAATGACCCAGTGTCAGGTGTCCTCCCGACGGAGCTGTAATAATTCTGCCAGCAGACAGGCTGCGTGGCACAGCCAGCGTCTGCAACAAGAGGCTTCAGTCCCACCAGCTGAATCTGGGTCCAAGAGAAGGGAAAGTTCTGGACTGTAAGGAAATAGGCTTAGTTCATATGAGCTTTATGTGCCTGCAATCAGGTTGCCTCTGATTCCCAGGAGAAGGTGGGGATTGGCCTGTCTCTGATAGCCACGAGGGGTCTCTCTTAGAAGCCTGCAGGGACTGAGCAGCTCCCGCAGCAGCTGAATGTGGTCTGTCAGTTCTTTGCAGCAGCCACCCAAAGTGGGGGTGGGGGAAGAAACTGCAGAGGGGTGGAGCTGAGTCTCCAAAGGTCTTCCCAATAGCATTCTAACAAATAATGTGGTGGCATTAGTATATTTGTAATGCCATGTACCCCTACTTTGTCTACTATGTCATTGCCCCTCAAATCCCTGTATCCATTAGGGGTCACCCCCAGCCCCTAGTGTCTGCAGGTTTTCCTGTCCTGGGTAGCTCAGAAATTGGGGTGCTGGCATCCATTTCAGCATTGTTGTCCCTTCACACGTCACTTCTAATGTCACCAGAGTTGTCAGGGGCAAACCCTGGATCCTGGAAATCCTAATTAGCGTTGCAATGCACCAACTGAAGAGATGGAAAGTTAAGAAAAGCTGAGGGGCGTTCACTGCGGTCACATTGGGAAGAGGAACCAATGAAGGGGTTCAGTGACCCCCGCCAAGTCCATCCTCAAGAATTAGAGAAACTTCAAGTTTAGCAGAGGAGAAAACAGAGGTTTACATAGTTAGTGGTCCTGGCCACGCTGTGGTCCTCCCCGTCCTGGCCACGCTGTGGTCCTCCCCATCCTGGCCACGCTGTGGTCCTCCCCGTCCTGGCCACGCTGTGGTCCTCCCCGTACTGGCCACGCTGTGGTCCTCCCCATCCTGGCCACGCTGTGGTCCTCCCCATCACTGACCAGTCGTCGTCTCTGCTCCAGCCTGCAAGATTCTAGCAAGTCCTCAGAACTCTGAGAGCTCTTCCTGGGAGACAGGCTCCTTCTGACCAGCACCAGGTTCCAGACTCCTCCCCCCTTCTGGCACTAGACCCCTGGAGCAATCCCAATTCTGGGGTACCATTGTCTCAAAGTAGTCTGAGAGCTGAAGGGGCCATGCCTCTTTAGGATGTCTTAACTCTATGCCATGTCCTCAGGGACAGAGGACTCAGCTCCGCACTGTCTGTGGTCTGACATATGCCATCAGACTGGGTGTTGATTCTTTTCGGTTGGTTTTAGCTTTTGACCCAGAGTCTTACACTGACTTACACCCAGACTTGCACTAACTTAGATTCCGGATTCTCTTGCCTCTGTCTTCCTGGGTGCTGGGATTAAAGCATCACCACTGCCAGGCCAGTGTAGAGAATCTTAAGCCTGACAGGCCTGACCGCTGATCCCAGCTCTATCCTCACTATTATATAAGATTGAATATGTTCCTTAGGCTGTGTGTTTGTTGAGAGATGTCTTATTCTGACCCCAGGCTGGCCTTGACTTTAAGCGATCCTGCTCCTCCAGCCTCTCGGTGCTAGGATCAGAAGTCTGTCATCATACTTGGTGACTTGTATGACTTGGTGGCTTGTCTATGCACTTGAGCCTCTGTCTCCTGTCTGTAAAATGGGGGTGAAGTACTCAGCTTGCCGTCAGTCATATGGCCTTACTGTGGCTCTGAGACAGTCTTTTTTTTTTTTTATTGAGCTCTACATTTTTCTCTGCTCCCCTCCCTTCCTCTCCCGTCCCCTTCAACCCTCTCCCAAGGTCCCCATGCTCCCAATTTACTCAGGAGATCTTGTTTTTTTCTACTTCCCATGTAGATTAGATCTACATAAGCCTCTCTTAATGTCCTCATTGTTGTCTAGGTTCTCTGGGATTGTGAATTGTAGGCTGGTTTTCTTTGTTTTGTTTAAAAACCACTTATGAGTGAGTACATGTGATAATTGTCTTTCTGGGGGAGCTGGAGAGATGGCTCAGAGGTTAAGAGCACTGACTGCTCTTCCACAGGTCCTGAGTTCAATTCCCAGCAACCACAGGTCCTGAGTTCAATTCCCAGCAACCACATGGTGGCTCACAGCCATCCATAATGAGATCTGGTGCCCTCATCTGGCATGCAAGCAAACATGTGAGGAATGTTGTATACATAATAAATAAATAAATCTTAAAAAAAATTGTCTTTCTGGGTCTGGGTTACCTCACTCAAAATGATGTTTTCTAGCTCCATCCATTTGCCTGCAAATTTCAAGATGTTGTTATTTTTTCTGCTGTGTAGTACTCCATTGTGTAAATGTACCACATTTTCCTTATCCATTCTTCAGTCGAGGGGCATTTAGGTTGTTTCCAGGTTCTGGCTATGACAAACAAAGCTGCTATGAACATAGTTGAGCACGTGTCTTTGTAGCATGGTTGAGCATCCTTTGGGTATATACCCAAAAGTGTTATTGCTGGGTCTTGAGGAAGGTTGTTTCCTAATTTTCTGAGAAATCGCCACACTGATATCCAAAGGGGCTGTACCAGCTTGCACTCTCACCAGCAATGCAGGAGTGTTCCCTTTTCCCCACAACCTCTCCAAGCATAAGTTGTCATCAGTGTTTTTGATCTTGGCCATTCTTACAGGCGTAAGATGGAATCTCTGGGACATTCTAATCTATCTCCATCTCCTTCCCTAGGTGATGCTGGAATCTTCTGTGTACCTGACCTTGGCCGTCTACAGTGGCTGCTGCCTCCTAGCTGCTGTGGCCTCCTGCTTTTTGCCCATTGAGACCAAAGGCCGAGGACTACAGGAGTCCAGCCACCGGGAGTGGGGCCAGGAGATGGTTGGTCGAGGGACCAGCAATGCAGATGTCCCCAGGTCGAACTCTGGCTCTCAGGAATAAGAACCCTGGGAGCTGAGCTGGTCTTGAGGTTAGGGAGCTGGCAGAGCCCAGCTGGGCCACTTATGGTCACTGCCGACATCAAGAACTTACCCAAGTGGATGATGTGAACCGACAGGGTTTTGCGTCTTCTCTGTGTTTGGCCATGTTCGTCAAGGGTCACCCATCCCAGGAAGGTGGGGTGGCATTTGCTCCTGGGGCTTCTCTGTGGTGGGGGAAGGATCTGCATGGGGAAACTGCTACTGTGGGAGGGGCCCAGGAAGCTCAGGGCCAGCTGAGCAGATGTCACACACTTGGAGAGCCACTGCCCGCCCAAAGATCTCCATAGATACAGTCCAGGCCCAGACCCCTGTGACACCTGCCATTTTGTCCAGTAGGTATCTTCTGCACCCTGGCCCCAGGCTTTCTTTGGAATTAAGGTGAGCTAGTGTCTGGCTTATGCAGCTTTTCTGGAGCCAGAGATGCCCTATGCTTCCTTGCCTGGGCCCCTCTAGATGTCTCTCCAGGGCCTTCCAGGTGGAAACTAGCAGATGAATGGGTATTTGAATTTGAGCCAAGCAGCCTCCACCTGGCCCCCTCCCTCTGGAGTTGCCGTCCCCGGCTGCAGAGGGTCCTGGTGAACCTCTGAGGAGAAGAACTGGGTGCCTACCGGGCGATAACCTCAGAAAGTTGTTACCCCATTCCCTGACCTGGAAACTGGAGACTGAGGCCTAGCTGAGGGGAAACTCAAGCCCAAAGCCAGAGTCTGCTGTAACAGCGAAGGTTTTCTGAGCCCTCTGCTTTGGCTCCCTCCTCAGCCCTACTGAACGGCGAGTCCTGGTTTACTCAGGCTTCAGGGCTGTGCTGTGTACAGATGGCTGCACAGACTGGGGGATCTCCAGGGGAAGCTCCCGCTGCAGGCTCACTCTGTCTTGGGACCAGGAGCCCATTGCCCCTTCCGGGCCTGCCTTCGCATTCACGCATGGCTCCTCTGTCAAGAGCAGCCCTGGCCCTACAGAGGTAGGCCCTGGGAGGACACCCTGGCACAAGGTTCAGAAAAGTCCTTGTCAGAGGGGAGGGGAAGCCATTTTCGTGGCCTCGGGAAGAAGGACCTGAGGTAGATCTCAGCAGGCTGTGTGTACTCCCAGATTTCGGAACCCACGAGGGAGGAAGGAAGCTTGCAGGCCCACCAAGGGCCAGAGGAGACCATCCTACCGCCTGACGCACACAGGAAGCAGTCAATGTGCGTTGTGCATTCATCTTATTAAAACGTTGGTGACAGACATTACAGGGCCTCGGACTGGTCATTGGGGATGGTGTTCTGGTGACAGTTCACTCCAAAGTCAGTGGACATGATCCATTCAGGGGAGAGTGCTTTGACTGGGTCTCCTCTCCTCTCAGATGCAGTCACGAGGTAAGCTTGAAGGAGACTGCACTGTTAATGGGAGGAAGACACAGTGGCCTCTTCGTGGGGACAGGTTGGTGCCCACCCCCTTAACCCCATGCTGGCATTCACATTTTAATTGATTATTATTGTTATTGATATTTGAGACAGACTTTCCCAGTGTAGCCCAAGCTAGCCCACTTCTTCCTGTCTCAGACTCCCTAGGGCACCACCATTGCCCAGCTCAGTCACATTTTCTTGAATTTTTTAATTTCTTGTAGTTATTTTTGGGCAGCTCAGCTGTCCTAAGTAACAAGCAGTCTTTACTTTGCCTCCTTTCCCCTCCCTCTCCCCCCTCCCCCCAGCTAGTCAGTTTCACTTCTTCATCCTCAAATGACCCAGCTCCTGTGGAGAGGAAGCTGGGGTTGCAGCTGGAGTTCTCCAGGGCTACAGTGGAGAGTGTTGTAGCTTCTACCCAAAGAGCAACAATTAACCCTTGAAGTGACTTCAAGTTTACTGTGGAGTACAAACCTGGAATCCCAACACTTGGGAGGGGGAAGTTGGAGGGTCAGAAGTTCAAGGTTATCCTCAGCCACTTAGTGAGCTTGAGACCAGTCTGAGCTTCACGAGACCTCCTCAAAAGCAAAACACTCACACATGCACACACACACTCACACAGACACACACAGAGACAGAGACACACAGAGAGATTGACTCTGCTTTACCTGGGCAGCATGACTCCACACACTAATACCTGACAAACAGAAGCAGGAAGATTGTGAGTTTGAGTCCAGCCTTGGCTATGCAGACCTCCTGACTTAAGACCTCTCTCCCTCGACACACACACCAAATAAATGGAATAAACTTTTTTTTTTTTTTTTTTAAAAATCAGTGTTCTGAGCAGGGCAGAGACCTCACAAAGCCTCCGTGCCTCAGAACCCACCAGACCTTGAGCAGAAGGCTGGGAGCTAATTTTAATCAACCTGTTTGTTAGTGGGAATGTCATCTGTTTCTCCCCACATGAGAAATCACTTCAGAACATGACAACAGGTGCTGCTGTGAGATGACTCCGTAAGTAAGTACCTGATGCCCGGAATTCGATCCGTGGAGCCCTGGTGTAAGGAGAAAACTGACTGCTACGGGCTGTCCTCTGACCCCAACACATCATGACCACCGTGGCGGCTCACACCCACATACATGGACACAATAGATTAACAAACATAAAGATATGCAGTGTCCCAAGGTTGTACACTTCTCTCTCTGATTTCAGGTCTCGAGGATGGGGCTCGGCTCAGTACTGGTGCATTTACCTTGCACGCTCAAGGTCCTGAATTGTGCCCGCCCCTTCTTTTCCCTGCCCTTACACACACACACACACACACACACACACACACACACGTACAACCTCGATCAAGTCTCCTCAAGACCATAGAGATGGCCTTCATGTGGTGAGACTAGGAAGAAAGCGTGTCAAGGATCAACCCTGAAGAGAGTGTGGATAGCCACAGAGTGTTTTAATGATGTTGATCAGCAGAGTAGCAAGGGCGGGAGTCCCCCTCCTCCCTTTACAATGGTAGACATCAAGTGTGCTGCGAACCACTCCGGAGGTCTAAGCAAAGGTGTCTGGACCACTCCTTGGCAGATGAGCCCAGACCCTGCCCCAGCCTGAGTTCAGTCCTTCTGTTGTGAGAATAGCATTGCTACATGATCTCGACACCCCCCCCCCCCCCCCCCCCGCCCCTCTCACGCAAACTGGTTTAGGGCCAGCCAGCATCCTGCGATGCTTTACCAGATGAGATGTGTGGGGAGGACCAGGATTTCTCCACCTCATACCTTTGCCTAAGGAAGCTGGGGAGCGGGAGTGAAAACGATCACCAAGGAAAATATCAATTAATTGGCTGTAAGGGGCTCGGGTGTCCTCATGGAGCAAGCGATGGTCACTTGAGTCCTCAGAGGTGGGATGGCGGCATCCTGGACTTCTTTTCTTCTAGAATTTTTCCAAAGAGGTTGGCTGCCTCCATTGCACAACCCCAGTGAACTGTGACCCCGTAGCCTCCATGACCATAGTTGTGGATGACCTGGGAGAGGAAAGAGATGGTGGCCAGATGCAGAAGGGACATCAAGGGGGAGAGCTTGGCTACAGTGGAAGACCAGGAGCTTTCTAAAGAGCTCGGTTGAACCAGATGCCACGAGCTCTATCGGTGTGTTAGCCAGGGGGTGGGCAAGGCCTGGGACTAGCTTGGGGGAAGCTATCTGAGGAGGGATAGGGTGGTACCCTATCTAGACTCTTGCTTCATCCCCTAGCACAGGAAATGTAGAACCGTGAAACCTTGAAGTCAGAGACATCTGCTGCAATGTTCCCTGACCGATGACTCTCCACACACACACCCAGCTCTGCAGAGGCATGCATGGCTCCTCCATACACACAGTCATCTGTACACACTCACCGACATACCCAGCTCTGCAGAGGCACACCTGGCTCCTCCATACATACACAGTCATCTGTGCACACTCACCTACATACCCGGCTCTGCAGAGGTACACATGGCCCCTCATACATACACAATCATCTGTGCACACTCACCTACATACCCGGCTCTGCAGACGCACACCCGGCTCTTCCATACATACACAATCATCTGTACACACTCACCTACATACCTGGCTCTGCAGAAGCACGCACGCTCCTCCATACACACACACAGTCATCTGTGCACACTCATCTACATACCCAGCTCTGCAGAGGCACACACGGTTCCTCCATACATACACAGTCATCTGTACACACTCACATGTGTGCCCCTTTGTCTACATGAGTACAATGTTCACATATATACTCTCTACACACCCCTATCTGTCTAAAAGGAGAAATCAAACCTCAGTACAGGGGTTGCTTCCAGCGTGTGCTTGCTCAGCTCATTCCTTTGGCACAGAATGACCGAGGGATTTGATGCTCTCAGCTCCCAGCCACAGTGAGGGGACCCAGGAGGCGCCCCTCCAGAAAGATAAAAGTACCATCACAAAGTGAACATCCTAGAAATATCTCCAGTCAAGTTCTGTTTACACACACAGCCCTGCCTGTCACCAGTGGTCTGACTTAAGCGGGTGAGATCACCAACGACAGTCCTGTTTTCTCTCAGGACAGAGAAAGCTGTTCCCATTCGAAGAGCTTCAGGGGAGACCCGGAAGGTCCTGAATCTGTCCTGCCGCCGGGCATAAAGTGCCATTTCTCTTTACTCAGTCCTTTCCCATCTCAAGTCTCAGTGTCCCCACTCACAGGTGGAGTGGCCATCACCTGATCTCAGTCAGTGACGTTTCCCAGGAAATGGCAGGGTTGTTGTTAGAGATGGAGCAAGCGTCACTTCCCTTGACCCAACACACCTCTGCACTTGAAGATCCAAAATGAAGCTTTTCTCTTTCTAGCCGAACCTGAGGCCGGACTGGCCGGAAACCAGTGAGTTCACCAACAATTCTCGCATTCTGGGGAAGAGAAAAGCTGGTAACTCACCTGGCTAGTTTCCTCTGCTGACATTCTAGGTAGCTGCGATTTAGCTTTTAGAATCTCATCATTAGTTCCCACACTGTTTAATCACTGATTGTCAGTTACCGGCCCCCTCTTGCTGTGTGAGGTGTGTGTGTG